CAGTTACACAGGGACATGTTTTAGAAGTACCGAGATTGAAGCCAGAGTCGTGTGCATATGAAGCTATAAGCTCAGTCCAAGCAGGCAAGATTTTGAATGCTCTCTCTTTTCTATGAGAACATCCCAGCTACCAACAGAGGGATTCAATGTTCATATAACCCAAGTCTTTAGATGTGCCGCATAGGCCAGTGGGGTTTTGTTGTTGTTTTGTCTGTTCTGAGGCAAGGTCTCCCTGGGTAGCCCAGACTGGCCTCACTGGGTAGCCTAGGCTGGCCACCAATTCAGGTGAAACCTAGACAGTCAAGGGTTCAAGGTCGTCCTCAACTCTATAGGGAGATGGAGGCCAGCTGGGTCAACACAAGGCCTTGGTTTTATTTATTTTATTGTTTTTTTTTTTTTTTTAGGTCTTTCCAAGACAGGGTTTCTCTGTGTAGTCCTGGCTGTCCTGGAACTCACTCTGTAGACCAGGCTGGCCTTGAACTCAGAAATCTGCCTGCCTCTGCCTCCCAAGTTCTGGGATTAAAGGCGTGCCCCATCATTGCCCAATCTTAAGTGCCTGTTGTGGTAAGTTACAACAGTGTCTGACACGTGCTAGGCACTAGTCCCATATGTGCTATAATTATGGAGAGTGGGAAGCAAGGACCTTGCTCCCTGAGTAGCACCTGCATTCCTACTGACTATACTACTCGTAAGAATTTGTCACATCCCAGCACTAGGGAGGCAGAGCCACATAGAGCACTGTAAGTTTAGGGCCAGCCTGATTTACACAGCAAGTTTCAGAGCCAGGAATTCTGTCCCCCGCCAAAAAAAAAAAAAAAAAAATTGGCTGCCGGGCAGTGGTGGCACACACCTTTATTCCCAGTACTTGGGAGGCAGAGGCAGGTGGATTTCTGAGTTCGAGGCCAGTCTGGTCTACAGAGTGAGTTCCAGGACAGCCAGAGCTACACAGAGAAACCCTGTCTCAAAAAAAAAAAAAAAGTAATTTTAAATTCTCCCTTTCTTTTTTTCTTCCTCTCTCCCTCCTCCCTCTCTTTTGGAAATGTTGGGGGTCACTCAGTTGTTCTGGAATTTACTTTGTAGGCCTGGCTTGCTTCTGCTTCCCTAGTGCTGAGATTAAAGGTGTGTACCACTCCTCCTCAGCCTTTCTCCTTTTGAGACAGTGTAGTACCACGATGTAGAGTAGGCTGGCCTTGAACCTGAACAGATCCACCTTGGGAGCATCTGACTCTCAAGGGCTGGGTTACCACATGTGACTTTTTCTCTTCCTTATTTCTGTCATTGGTTACCATTTCTAGTATGATATTGATGTTTTTACAGAGGAATTGCCCACTAATGTGTTTCTCATGGTCTGGTTTATATGTATTTTTTATTGGATATTTTCTTTATTTACATTTCAAATGTTATTCCCTTTCCAGGTCTCCCCTCCAGAAACCGTCTGTCTCACCCGCTCTCTCCCTGCCTCTACGAGGGTGCTCCCCTACCCACCCACTCCCACCTTCCTGCCCTGGCATTCCCCTACACTGGGACATCGAACCCCCACAGGACCAAGGGCCACTCTTCCCCCTGATGTCCAACAAAGCCATCCTCTGTCACATACATGGTTGGAGCCATGTGTACCCTTTGGTTGGTGGTCCAGTCCCTGGGAGTTCCAGGATGTCTGGCGGTTGACACTGTTGCTCCTCCCATGGGGCATACACCTGTGTGCCAGAAGAGGGCATCAGACTCCACTATAGATGGTTGTGAGCCACCATGTGGTTGCTGGGAATTGAACTCAAGAATGTTGGAAGAGCAGCCAGTGCTCTGAAGCACTGAGCCATCTCTCCAGCTCTATCTGTACTTATTTTATTTATTCAGTGCCAGCTTGCACAGAGGACACCACCACCATCGAGTCTACAAGCCAGAAATGGCACCCGCTGTCACAGGATTTATTTAAAGCCGAAGAAAACACTACAGGAGAATTTCTTGTCTTTGCAGTGGCCACACAGCTCCTGACGATGTGGCCTCCGGAGATCATTGTGTCTTTTCTTTTGAGAACGGGAACAACCGGATCTTAAGCAGGTCTTTTGGAGGCAAAGTTAAAACAGTAAATGATCAATTGATGTTCCAAGCTTGGTCCCCAACTGAAAATACCCTTCCCACTCCCTTCCCCCATAGCTGTGTCTTTCTCCAAGTTCTACAAGGTGGTTTCCCAGATGTACAAAACAGCCCATCTCCCTTCAAATGCCACCTGAATACTTGATCACAGAAGTTGGTCAAGAGGGTATTGGCATGCCACCCAGGACAATAGTAAAATATGAGGAAGGGGCTTCTTAAAGTGTCTGTGTGTAGTTTTCTGTATCTGTAGCCAGTGGGGATGAGAGGCAGAATGGGTATCATTTAACTATGGTCTCAACCAGAGGTCATACTGTCAAAGACTGGACACCATTTAGACTGTTGTTACAATTAGGAAGAACAAAAGTCTCCTGAGGAAGCTAAGTTCATTTGCATCGGGTAAACATTGTGTATAACCTACAAGTGTATTTATTCATTGGTTTTCACATGTATTTATTGAGTGTGTGGGGGTGTGTGGTATGACTTGTGGAGGTCAGAAGACGGCTAGGTTCTTCCTTCCATCGTGTGGGGGCCTGGCAATCCAGTCAGATCAGGGTTGGCATCAAGCACCTTTGCCTGCTGACTATGATACTGGTCCAGGAAGCTAAATCATTTTCTTCCCAGATATACACCATCCTCACTAATATTTAAAGCCATGCCTTTCAGCTAAGAGCCCATCCAAAAGATCCTGGTACACCTTCCTGGTCAGGGCCAACCTTAGATGCACACCGTTCCACCATCCACATATGGCTGGGAGGCCCGAAGAATAAGGCAAGGTCTACTTTCTGAAGACTGTGGAAAGATAGGACTTGCATTCTCCAAACAGGAAGCTTCAGTTCAATGTGCTAAACATCAGACAACAGTCACATCCTCCCTTCCCTAGTAGAGAGGCATCCTTCCTTACAAATTAATTTTAGGATGGGGGTCCCTGTTTGCCTGGCACTGTTCTAAGTACCTTGCACAGATAACTTACTGAGTTTCCCCCCTTTCTTTCTTAAGAAAGAAAAAGGCAACCAAATGAGCTTGCTCTAAAGCTGGATTTCTACTTCTTGCTATAGTAGATCAGGTAACACTTAGAAAGCCTGGGCAGCTCGGACAACTGAACCTAGACTAGTTGCTGAAAGGCTGGAGAACAGCCAGGGAATTAAAGAGAAAACACAGGGATGTAAGTGAACCTAACTTAGGGACTGCTTCAAAAAAAGAAGAAAATAAAAGCCTTAAATTGGTTTATAGTCCCCAATCTATACAGAAGAACTTAAAAGGTCAATAAGATCTAAGGGGAAATGACAAGATGGCTTAGGGGTTAAGAGCTTATATCACCCTTGCAGAGGACCCGGGTTTGATGCGCAGCAGCTACACGGTGGCTCACAACAGACTGTAACTCCAGTTCCCCTTTCTAGCCTTGGTAGCTACAGTCATACATGGTGTGCATTCATACCTGCAGGCAAAACATGCACACACATAAGATAAAAATAAATCCACTTTAAAACCCAGAGATGGTGGTGGCACATGCCTTTAATCCCAGCACTCAGGAGGGAGAGGCAAGTGGATCCAGATTGAAGGCCAACCTGATCTCCAGAGTGAGTTCCAGGACAGCCAGGGATACATAGTGAGACTCTTATCAACAACTACAACAACAACAAAAGGCCTCATCAAGTTCTGGAACTTTCTAGATGTTGGGGATATGTTATCTCATCACAGGTCTTTTACAGTACTGTAATTTATTACAGTACAATTTATACTCTGTAGGATATATATATATATATATATATATATATATGATAGCATATATTATATATCTATCACCAAGGAGCGGGAGGTACCTTGCAGAACTGTTCCTGTTAATTCTGGATGAGGTGAAGGAGGATAGGAAGCTGAAAAGGAGATGAACAGACGGATGTGGCCAAGGGGTATATCATGGTGAAAGAGCCCCCACCAACAGCTCAGAGATGGCCTTGGGACCCCAGGGCTCTACCTAATGACTAAGGATTGACCAGAACTAAGCCTGCTTTCACAGATATTCATATCTGTTTTAAAAAAAAAAGAGAACAGACATGACTGGAAAATAAAGGTGGCTTGAAATTGCTACTGTATCTATCGGCTTGTTATAAGCAGGCCGAAAATCTCTCTGGAAGAAGATACTGCCCTAAGCCATAACTTATCACTAGGGATTGTCATATGCAACCTAACAGAGAATCAAAAATAACTAGGCATATGAAGAGACAGAACAGCAGACTTGAAAACCAAGAGAGCGCGCAGCCCATGAATGGTTAAAATTGGATTCATCAGACACCAAATTTCAAAGAACTCTACTTAAACTGGGCATAACAGTGCATGCCTTCAATCCCAGGAGGCAGAGCTGGCAGATTCAATCCCAGGCCAGCCAGGACATTATTTAAAAAAAAAAAAAAAAAAACACCTCAAGCAAACAATTTTTTAAAATCGCATAAAAACAACTATCTCTGCTAGGCATGGTAGCTCATACCTCTAATCCAACACTTGAGCTTCTGAGGCAGGAGAATTTCCATGAACTCAAGGCCAATTCTGGCTATATAATGAATTCCAGGCTGGCTTGGATTATGGGGTGAGACAATCTCAAAATTCAATGAACAGCAATGCTCAGTGTGTTGGAGGAAGAGACTAATATTTCCAAGAAAGATTTCAAAGGTTTTTTTTTATTATTTTGTTGTTGTTGTTTGGTTTTGGTTTTTATTGGTTTGCTTTGTTTTTGAGATGAGGTCTCTAGGTATCCCTGGCTGAGTTAAACCAGGGATCCACCTGTCTTTGCTCCTGGTGCTTAGATTAGTTCTGGGAATAAATTAATGAGCCACCACACCCTGATCAAAGTTAATTTTAAGTAAAAATTCAAGGAGAGAAAAATGCAAGTCGTTTCAATGACCCATTTAACAAAAGATTAGAAGCAATTGAGCTAATAACTAGAAATGGGCGTTGAGATGGCTCAGCAGATGGGAGAGGGAAAGAAGGAGAGGCTGTCCTCTGACCTCATACACTTTTCCCAGCGTCTACAGTCACCATTATTATAGTACAGTTGAAAACTGTACCATTCAGAAAATTCCAAGAAAAATGTCTGTGTAAGAGTTGATGTGGCCTGGCAGTGGTGGCACACGCCTGTAATCCCAGCACTTAGGAGGCAGAGGCAGGCGGATTTCTGAGTTCAAGGCCAGCCTAGTCTACAGAGTGAATTCCAGGACAGCCAGGGCTACACAGAGAAACCCTATCTCAAAAAACAAAAACAAAACAAAACAAAAAAAAAGAGTTGAAGTAAATGCATTTGGATAAAGCAGACAAGTTCTTGCCACTCAGCCCAGGAAACACCAGTCTGAGGACCTAAAGCTGTCAGTGTTTGCTACTAATTGTAAAATTTCATATGTGATCTTGTAACCATTAAGAATTCTTATGTTAGTAGTGGTGGCACACACCTTTGATCCTAACACTTGGGAGGCAGAGGTAGGCAGATCTCTAGGTTCAAGGCCTGGTCTACATAGTGAGTTCCAGGATAGCCAGAGCTATGCTGAGACCAAAACAAACAAACAAAAAGACAAACAATAAAACCAATGTCCTCTTCCGCCAAAATAAGGGAGGATCTCTGAGAGTTCAAAGCCAGCCAGCCTAGTCTATATAGTGAGTTCCAGGACAGCCAGAGAGACTCTGCCCACCCCTCACCCCCAAAAAAAGTTTTTTAAAAAATCTTTATGCATCTAATATTTAAATTGTTAATATATATTTGTTTTTTGCATGTGTGCCTATGTAAGTTCATATGCACCATATGTGTTCAGGAACATGTGGAAGAGGCCAGAAGCTTCTGATCCTCTGGAACTGGGGTTACAGATGGTTATGAGTTGCTCACTATGAGTGCTAGGAACTGAACCTGGGTCCTCTGCAAGAACAGTAAAGCACCCTTAACCACAGGAAACCCCTCCAGCCCTTTGTATCTAACTACTTAAGCCTACTGTCTTCTCATAGGTCTGAATCTTCTGGAGTAGTCTACAGTGCTACCAATCTCTATGCCATCAAGACAGAGTAAGCTCTGAGTCTTCTACTTCTCCCGAGAAGTAAGTCACTGAGATCAGTGTGTCTTGGTCCAATACACACACACACACACACACACACACACACACGCATGCATACACGCATATGCCTGCACGCATATCAATATCAGTAACTTCCATACATCTTCTTACTATAAGAACCAAAGAGGGAAAATGTTTTTCTTTTAGTATTTTCAATTACATATTGCTGACAATTCTTGTTTTTATGAATTTCTTGTAACCATTCTGTCACCAGATCATTTCACTTCATTTAAAAACTTTTGATGTGGTAACCAGCCCCACCACACACAACCCTATAGTGTATGTGTGTATTGGGGAGGGGGAATAGAGAGAAAAAACTATCTCTACTGTTGCCTTGGGCATGATCTACCCACCTCCAACCCTAGAGGTCAACCAAAAAAGAATATATTGTAAGTGAAGGAGTCTAAAAATAAATTTATTAAAAAACAAAACAAATAAGCAGGGCAGTGGTGGCGCAGGCCTTTAATCCCAGCACTTGGGAGGCAGAGGCAGGCAGATTTCTGAGTTTGAGGCCAGCCTGGTCTACAGAGTGAGTTCCAGGACAGCCAGGACTACACAGAGAAACTCTGTCTCGAAAAACAAACAAAAAAACAAACAAACAAACAGTTCTTGAGATGAGGTAGCTCTCTGTGGAGATCTTGTCTGGTTTGCACAAGACCCTAGATTCAATCCCTAGTATATTCTCCCCTCACAGTAAATATATATCACTCTCTTAATTTTATTTATGTGTATTTATTTATGTATGGAATCTGTATATATGTATATGCATGCACACACACACACACACACACACATGAGGTGTTCATGTAAGCCAGAAGAAGCCAGGGGACACCCTTAATCTAGAGTAACAGGCAGTTGCAAGGCACTTAATGTGGGTGCTAAGAACAAATTCAGCTTCTCTGGAAGAGCAGCAGGAGTGGGATGCCATCTCTGCATCCCACAAAAATCCTCTTGACTACAAAAGTCATTTAAGTTGATCTTTGTAACCAAGTTTAAAGACAGTTTTCCTCTCCACAGTTTCAGACTCCACATGGCCCCACACCCAAACTCAAAAACAAACTAACAAAGCAATGGAAAGTCAAAACTTTATCTAACACAGAGACTTTCCAAACGTTGAGACACTGAGAAATCCAGTCATGATTTAACCTATACATCTGACCTCTGACAACCTATCTTATCTCTCTTGAACTGAGCATCCTGGGAACAACATCTTCACAAAGCTTAAGCCATGCCACTGGAAACAATGTGCAAAACACACCAGCTTTCAGAACTTAACAAAAATGTTACAGTTACCCATCAAAAGGATGACATTCTGAAGACACCCTGAAGAAGGCAGTTTGCTTTCTGCTTTGTTTTGGTTTTTGAGACAAGAAAACCAGCCTAGCCTTGAGCTCCTGAACCTGCTACTTCCCAGGGTCACAAGATTATAGTCAGAATGGTTCAAGTCTGGCATAAGGAAACTTAAAATAGTGGATCTTCTCGATTTTTCTCTCCAAAAATATTAGCAGAATTTATGCCTTTATTCCTTTCCTAAAATAATTCTAAGCTCTCATACATACAGAAAAACCTATGGAGCTGGAAAGATGGCTCAGTGGTTAAGAGCACTGGCTTCTCTTCCAGAGGTCCTGAGTTCAATTCCCAGCAACCACATGGTAGCTCACAACCATCTGTAATGGGATTTGATGGCCTCTTCTGGTGTGTCTGAAGACAGCAACAGTGTACTCATATACATAAAATAAATAAGTCAAAAAAAGGGAAAAAAAGAAAGAGAAAGAAAGAAAAGAGGGAAGGAAAGAAGGAAGGAAGGAAGGAAGGAAGGAAGGGAGGGAGGGAGGGAGGGAGGGAGGGAGGGAGGAAGGAAGGAAGGAAGGAAGGAAGGAAGGAAGGAAGGAAGGAAGGAAAATCGAGTATGCCCATGACAAGACCTAGGCTCTGTAAGATCCAAACCCTTTGTGATAGAGGCTTCAGGTACACAAATGGAAACAAGACAGACAAAACATTCTGTATGCTTACCTGACATTGGATTGCTTCTACTCGGTAAGGGTTAAAATTCTTCTGACACTTTCTACAGAGCTGTTTGAAATAAACCTAAAGAGAAATTAGCCTTTTTAATACAAGCTGATATATGCATACATTTCTCAGGTCCCCGTTCTTTTATAGTAACTTGCTTATTTTTCTTTTTTACTTAAAAGTTTGGAGATGAGTGTTTGCATGCATGTGCACTGAGTGTATGCAGTTCACACAGAGGTCAGAAGAGGGGGTGTTGTATCCCCTAGAACTGGAGTTACACATGGTTGTTAGTATGATGTGGTCTGGGAACCTCTGGGAGAGCAGTGAGTGCTAGTTAACTGTGAGCCATCTCTCTACCCCAGGCCCAGTTCTCAAGTGACACAATGTGCTCCTTCACTTTCTACTTTGGTTATCTTATGTGTAACCTCTAACCTTAAAGGATCTTTAATTTTTCCCCATTTTTTCCTCATGTGCATGTGGGGTTTTTTCCCCTCTTTGTTTGCAGCATGTTATGTCTATGCACCATGTGCACACATTGCCCACAGAGACCAGAAGAGGGTGCTGGATCCCTTCACACAGAAGTTACAGGTCTTCGTGAGCCCTCCTGTGGGTGCTGGGACTCAACCCCAGTCCTCTTCAACGATGGGCCCATTCTCCATACCAGTACCTTGAGGCTTTAGGCTCTGAGAGTTCCATTAGTCACTTGCCCTCACTCTGTGTTCCATTTCATTTACTTGTAAACTGAGATAGCATTACTTTTTCTAAAGTTCTTACTCTATGCTAGTTCTGATCAGCAACATACATAAAACTCAAAGTACTGCTGTTATTACTTTTCTCTACTGTCTGGACCAATTTCTCCCTCTGCTCTGAAATGTCTAGATTTCCCACTTGAATTTAATTATTTGTGGCTTCCCATCAGTTTCATCTACTTTCTAGGTTTTGCACATTGTCTAGTGGACATTTTCTCCCTGGTTTACTTGGCAACATGTCTGGTTTTCCTTCTTTTTCCGAGAAAGAGTCTCCACTGTGTAGCTCTGGTTGACCTGGAACTTGCTATATAGGCCAAGCTGGCTTCAAAATTGTAGAGATGGGTTTGCCTCTGCCTCCAAGAATTGGCATTTAAAGCATGTGCCACCATGCCTGGCCTTTCTCTTACCTTAAAGCAATGGTTCTCAACCTTCTTTTTTTTGGGTTGTTTTTTTTGTTGTTGTTGTTTTTTTTTGTTTTTTCGAGACAGGGTTTCTCTATATAGCCCGGGCTGTCCTGGAACTCACTCTGTAGACCAGGCTGGCCTCAAACTCAGAAATTCACCTGCCTCTGCCTCCCAAGTGCTGGGATTAAAGGCGTGTGCCACCACTGCCCAGCTGCCTTATAATAATTTTAAAAGATATTATCACTTGTTTTTATGAAGGAGTTTAATGTCTTGACATCTGCAGAGATGACAGAACCTCTTAAAATAACCTTAGGATATTTAGGTATGATGGCATGTTCTTTTAATGCCAGCACTTGGTAGGAAGGAGCTGAGGGTTCTAAGCCAGCCAGGGCTAGCTACCTAGGGAGACTCTGTCACAGAAAAACAAAAGCAAAAACAATGAAACAAGAGGCAAGTGGATTTCTGAGTTTGAGGCCAGCCTGGTCTACAGAGTGAGTTCCAGGGCAGCCAGGGCCATACAGAGAAACTCTGTCTCCAAAACAAAACAAAACAAAAAACTCAAAGAATGTCAGCAAGAAAGAATGTCAAGATTTAGTCTCAGAACAGTCCAAGTTGGTAGAAAAAAAAAAAAAGAAATAGGAGAAATCTCTAGAGTAGATGAGGAGACCCAAATTTACTTTTGACCAAAAAAAAAAAAAATGTAAGTAGGAAATTAAGCTTATCCAGTATTTAAGGCACAAACTGTCACCTAATTATGGACCTGCATGACCAGGCCCAACTTGAAAGCTTGATTTTGAAACTAAGCTTCTACCAAACACTCCAGAGGTTTCCATTGTTCTGAGACAGGGGCCTGAGACAGCTCTTGCCCTGAACTCACTCTGGAGACTTGGAACTCACAGATCTAGCTGCCTCTGTCTCCCAACTGCTTCTGTGTCTTTCATATATGTGTAATATTAAGTTTCAAATCTGCAACAAGTGCCTGAGGTGCCTATTTAATAAAACAAAACAGACATGGCCTCCAGGTTCTCCCAGCATCCCTCAGTCCCCACCGGTTAACCGGGGTAAGGCTGGCACACCCTGAACTCTTCAGCCCAGGTCTGGGCTTCCCCTACCCCAGAGGTTCCTCCTTATATAATTCAGACAGTTTGGTTACTCACCCCTCCTTTGCTATTGTTCTTTTGGTCTTTTGACTGCTGGAGTTGATTCCCTCTCTTCCTTCCTCTCCCTTGCTCCCCACATGGTTCAGAGTGATGACCACTCTGGACTCTCTCAGTTTTTTCTCTGCCTCTGGGTATGTCTCTCTTTTTTCTACAATAAAGTTTCTCCTCCACCATACCTAGGGGCGGTCATATTCTTTCCTTTCCTTTTTATTTCTTTTGTTTTCCTTTCATGTAAAGGTCTTTTTATGTAGCCTAAGCTGGTCTCAAACCCCATCCTTCCCCTCCCAAGTGCGGCAGTTGCAGGATTATATACTGACCACCCCGGGTGGTAATTTATTTATTTAATAATTGACTTTCACATTCAAATGGAAATATCAATATAAAACCATCCTCGATGCCTGTCAGCGGCTATGCCAAAGTGAAAAGGTGAAAAGGAGTTCCTGTACCTTCCTGAAAAGTTCCTGAAAAGGAGCGCCTGTACCTTCCAGAACTCGGTGCCCCTCCCCCATGCATGCCCCGCCCCTCATGCTTGCTTACCTTGTTGGTACCTGCAATGCACCATACGTAAGCACTCTCCCATCTCGTCTTACAGTCTTTACAGTGAAAATAGCCGTATTTTGGTTCCAAAAACTGAAAATAAATAGGAACGGAAGTCTTTTATTAACGGGGGGTCGGGAGAGGAAAAGTCTCGAGCCTAGTTTCCTAATTGATGGCCTAACGCAACAGCATTTACCTCCCGGACCTTGTTTTCAGCGATTCTCTACAGAGCTCCGTTAATGTAGCTTCTAGGCTCGCAGCACTCAGATGTTTCCTGTCCATCCCCGCAACAGCAACAGCTCCAAAAATAAAAATCTAGGTTCGCCTTTCACACACTAGAAGCTTACTGTCGCCTTGTCTTCACCAGGAATACTGACGGGACTTTTTAAAGTCAGGCTTCACACCTACCTTACCAAAACTTGAAAAACATCCAGACCATGCAAACAAAGTACATGCTTCAAGAACTGCACCTTCCTCACTAAAGGAGCACTTACCGCTCTGGAAACGGAAGGAAGGAGGGCTCTGCTGATGAGGGGCTGAGCAGAGAGAAGCCAGCTAAAAGCGGAGCTTCCCAAGTGAACTCTGACTGTGCTTGCACGTACCTGCTTGCTCTTCCTGTCCTGAGGGCTGGGGGCATATTCCTCCCCCAATTCCTTCAGCCGTGGGACTTTCTCCTGCTTGTCACTAGCCCCTCTCCATGTTGGTGGCAACAGCTGATTGGCCTCTGTAGGTCCTGTGAGCCCCTGGCTTTTCTTGTTTTCCCCATCCTGGAATCGCTGGATCAAACTTCTCCGGCCTATTCCCCAAGCTTCGGTGGGCTTCCTGGAGCTGGTTCTGTCCGAGAGGGAGCTGCTGTGTAGTGTCTGTGACCCCAGTGAGCACTGCACCGACTTTTCCACTCGAAGGCTCACCTGTACACCCACCTCCTTGGTGTTGGCCTTGCACAGCCATAGACTCAGGTTGGGGTTCATCTGAGTGGAAAAGGCTTGAAGCTGACCCCTGTTGTAAGGGTCCATACAGGGCTGAGAGACATTTGCTGGTACCCTAAGCCTGTCTAGGAAAATGGGAGCTCCCATGTTGTTTTGTGGCCAGTTTTGCTGTTGACAGTGTGTCCAGGGGCCAGGGTAGGTTAAAGGCTGTGTGGTCCAATAGCCACAGGGAACACGGAAAAGGCGCTCCATTGGGTGTAACTTCCTCCCTTACCTACCGCTGCCTCTTCCTCTTTGTAGATTTGGTTTGGGTTCACCCAGGTTTCTTCATTTATTCCAGGGTGGGAGCAGCCCCTTAGCTCCCTAATTGAAGTCACCTAGGAGACAACTAATTGCTTCCACAACCTTTCCATCTGCAACACTCACTTTTTTCCCCCCAAGGTTGTTTTTCATTTCTGACTTCCTTACTCAGGCTTTAACTAATAATTCCACTCATTTATTCTCTTGATGAGGACTTTGTTGATCTGGTATTGGTGGGTGAGGATATAAATTAGTATGGGTATTGTGGAAACTAACGCGGTGCTTCGTCAACAATTAAAAATTGGCTGGGCTGTGGTGGAGCCTTTAATCCCAGCACTTGGGAGGCAGAAGCAGGTGAATCTCTGAGTTGGCCAGCCTGGTCTACAGAGTGAGTTCCAGGACAGCCAGGGCTACACAGAGAAACACAGTCTTGAACCACCCCCCCCTTAAAAAAAAAGAATTAAAAATAGGAGGGCAGGAGAGATGTCTCCGTGGTTAAGAGTGCAAAGTGCTCATAGCAACTTTGGCTCCCAGCCTCTGAGTGGCTGACAAATACCTGTAATTCTAGCTGGTACCTGATATCCTCTTCCGGACTGTAACCCACACTCATGTACATAGACCCACATATAGACAGACATATGCACACATACTTTTTAAAACTATATAAATATATCTTTTTTAAAAAAGAGTTTTTTATTTAATGCATGAGCATCTGCATGTATGCCTGCTTGCCAGAAGAGGACCCAAGATTTCACTATAGATGGTTGTAAGCCACCGTGTGGTTGCTGGGAATTGAACTCAGGACCTCTGGAAGAACAGCTAGTGCTCTCAAACGCTGAGCCAGCTCTCCAGTCCTATCTTAAAAAAAAAAAAAGAACAACCACTTGACCTAGCAATCCCACTATTTGTACATATACACAAAGAAAGTGAAATCAATCAAGTTAAGAAATTCTGCCCTCACACTCATCCAAGAGTCAAACTCTGGAAGCAACCTACGTATCAGATGGCAGATGAGTAAAGAAACTGCCATATAAATGGGAATGTTATCCATCATTAAACAAAAAAGAGAAAGCATTGTGGTGGTACAGGCCTTGTAATCCCAGAACCCGATAGGCTGAGGCAGGAGGCTTACAAGTTCAAGACCAGCCTGGCTATACAGCCAGACCCTAGTTTGTTTGTTTCTCTTTGTTCTGGATGAAACTAGAGGACATTATGTTAAGTGCAATAAGCTATACAGGAAAAATTTTATTATGTGATCTCATATGTAAAATCTAAGAAACTCAAATACACAATTACCATTAGGGGGTGGGATTGGTCAAGGGGCGTAAAGGAGCAAATTCCAAGTCTACAGCACAGGACAATGACTATAAATAGTAACTGTTGTAAAACACAGCTCTCATCTCGAAAGGAATCAGGGTCGAATCCAGAGGCAAATTTGAGTAATCATGGCCCCAAACCACAGATTTAGGTTACCCAAAATTCTGTGTTCCAAAGTGGAGGCAGTTTTTATGACATATCTATAGTAACAGAACAAAGAAAGTCATAAATCCAGGCATTGAAAAAATGCATTGGCAGGGCTGGAGAGACAGAGCAGCCTTTAAAGGCTCGAAACTCAAAAATATATTGGTGGAAACATCAGAGAGATGGGTGACAGACAAAGAGAAATCTCAGCTATAGGCCTCAGATGCTATTTGATAGCATTCTTGGACCTTTGCTTCATATGGTTTTCTTAATATAGTCCAAAGGTTTGGGTTTTTAAAATATGTTTGTTAGGATTAAGGTACTACACCACCTAGGTGGGTAAAGAATACATTATTAGGAACCTAATAACAGCAGGCAATAAATTTCAATTGGGTTCTCAACCAACAACATTCCAAACTCTTCACAGTTACTGAGGTGGTTTTTTTTGTTGTTGTTGTTGTTTTGTTTTCGATTTTTTTTTTTTTCAAGACAGGGTTTCTCTGTGTAGCCCTGGCTGTCCTGGAACTCACTCTGTAGACCAGGCTGGCCTCGAACTCAGAAATCCGCCTGCCCCTGCCTCCCAAGTGCCGGGATTAAAGGCGTGCGCCACCACTGTCTGGCAGTTACTGAGTTTTAATCAACCTTTGTAGACATAGCTTTTTTTTCCCTAGAGATTTTTATTCACACAGTATGTGTTGCATCCTACAGATTTGCTAGAATAGATTTGATACTCTCTATCACACACCTATAACTATGTAAGGGTCTGACTATACTAACTGTGAGACTTTGAATTCAATTATGCTTGGTAGTAAGCAATCTGAGCAGCTGATCTAAAATCATATAAAGTCTAGTAGAGTCGATGAAGTGGTTGGGAAGTGCCTTTTACCAAGAACAGGGAACATAGTCATGAGCTGTTGAGGGCCAAGAGGGTGTGATACTGAGCATCTTCCAGAAGGTGAAATGTGTCAAAGCTTCTCATTATTCCACACTAGTGAGACACCTTTCTCCTCCAACTTCCCCAGAGAAGAAAGCAATTCAATTTTTTTTTAAAGATTTATTTATTTATTATATGTAAGTACACTGTAGCTGTCTTCAGACACCCTTAAGAGGGCATTGATCTCATTGTAGATGGTTGTGAGCCACCATGTGGTTGCTGGGATTTGAACTCATGACCTCTAGAAGAGCAGTCAGTGCTCTTAACCGCTGAGCCATCTCACCAGCCCGCAATTCAATTTTTTAAAGAGTTATTTATTTTAAATATATGAGCACACTGTAGCTGTCTTCAGACACACCAGAAGAGAGAATCGGATCCCATTACAGATGCTTGTGAGCCACTATGTGGTTGCTGGGAATTGAACTCAGGATCTCCTGAAGAGTGCTCTTAATCACTGAGCCATCTCTCCAGCCCTATTTTTTTTTCTTTTCCAAGTAGAAATTATTGTACATTTTATTGTATGAGTGCTTTGTCTGCATGTACATCTGCACACTAGGAGAAGGCATCAGATCCCATTACAGATGGTTGTAATTCATCATGAGGGTGCTGGCAACTGAATTAGGACCTCTGGAAGAGCAGCCAGTGCTTTTAACTGTTCAGCTGTCTCTCCAGTCTCCACTATTTCTTTCCCAAGACAGGGTTTCTCTGTATAGCCATGGCCATCCTGAAACTCATTCTGTAGACCAGGCTAGCCTCAAACTCATAGAGATCTGCCTGCCTCTGCCTCTGCCTCCCAAGTGCTGGTAAAGGCATGTGCCACCACCACCCCATTTTACAAGTTTATAAAGCCAGATGGATTTGAACCCAAATTTAGAACTTATACCAGGCTAGTTAATGACCTGATGAGTTTTTACCCATTGAGCAATACTAAGCACTTCATAGTATTGTTAGAAACACTCAATAAGCAATAGTTTATTACTAGATAATACCACAAGTCTCTTCTTTGCCAAGTAGACCTACATCAAAAGTTTTAGTATTTTTTTACATTAGTGATACTTCTTGCTAAAACAAGGGATTACTGATTACCAGACAAAATTGATACCAATAAACCAAGCGGACTTTTCTCAGTTGTCTTTATTATGGTGTTGAGTATTTAACCCAGGGACATGCAAAATCTGTACTATTGAGCCAGACTCCCCAACCCCAGGCCATAGTTTTTCTAATCCAAGATGACCTTTTTACTGCTTAAGCATGTTCTGGAGGCAGCAAGGTCCCTAAGATCTCTTGTTGAATCCAATTGAGGGCTTTCTAAAGTTCAAACTACAAACCCACAGTAAGCCATGAACTGGGCTTGTTACCAAGTAAATTCAGGGACAGATAATAATGTTTCAGTTTTCTAGGTCAGTTTCTGGGAAAGTCAGGAAACATGGTGATAGTATCATAAAATTGTACGACCTAGGCCTGCAAAACTAATATTGCAGGACTGTTATTTAACGAGAGAGAGAAAGAGAGAGAGAGAGAGAGAGAGAGAGAGAGAGAGAGAGAGAGAGAGAGAGAGAAACGGGGAGGGAGACGGAGAGAGGGAGAAACAGAGGATGAGAGGGAGGGGGAGAGATACAGAAGGGGGCGGGGGAAGGACAGGGAAAGAGAGAACTTGGGGGGGGGGGGTCCTGGTCGTACCACCCGTCCTCAATAAGACAATTAAGGGAGCCAAATTAAAACTGAAAAGCTGAAAGACTTATTTAATGTGGAGACATTGGGAAGAGGGTAGAGATAGAACGAATCCTTTCAAAGTCTATCTTCAGGGTCCGTGAGATTAAAGTAAACAGAACGCCAAGGATACGAGCATCTAATTAGACCCGGAGGATATAGGAAAAGAAACTATAAACTATAAAGAAAATGTTAACCCACATCGAGGAGAGAAGAAACCACAAAAGACACACACACCACACACCACACACACACACAAAGAAACTATAAACTATAAAGAAAAGTTAACCCACATCGAGGAGAGAAGAAACCACAAAAGACACACACACACACACACACACACACACACCACACACACACACACACACACACACACACACACACACACACACACACCCCGTGTCCCTAGGGCGCCTGAGACAAATGTGAACCCGAGGGGAAGAAAGGAATTCCGCTGCGGATGGGCGAGCTAACTCCAGCCGGGAACAGCGACAGAAGGAGCCGCTCCCTGACTTCCGGGCGGCGCTCGCGCTGCGTACCCGTCGCGTAGTCATGACGTCAAGGGCAGAGAGCGGGCTTTTCGCGGGAGCGTGAGAAGTGAGGCGGCGCCGTCAGTCAGCGAGCGCAGGCGGAGCGGGTCAGTGGGGCCAGGTGTTGTGGGCGCGCGCTCCGAGGTTGTGGGGCCGTGAGGGACACGACGGACATCTCGGAGGAGCCCCTCGACCTCCTTCACGGCCGCCACTAGCTCCACCTCAGCCCGGAGCGGATTCCGCCTCCCAGCTCCTTGCAGCCCGCCGGCGTCCTCCCGGAGGGATCTGGCGCGTCCCCAGAGTCCGCAGTAGCCGCTCCATTCTGCAGTTGCTGGATTACCTAACGTGTGTGTCTCAGCTCCGTAATTAGACGTGAATAATTTGAAATACCGTTAGGTTTTTCTTGTTATTGGCCCCCACCTTATCTACTTTCGGGTGCTATGAGCCACTTGGTTCGAAGCACAATTATATAAACTCTCCTCATCTTCATGATAAGTTCTTTTCTTGTCCCAAAAGATGAGCCTAAGGTAGTTCCGTTGGAACTTACAAGCTTACCAGCGATTCTGGTTTTATCTGTCACGAGAGCAGGCCTGTGAAGTGTATGTTACTTTCTCTTTTGCAGACTTCTTTACCAAGCCTCGGAGAAATACTGTAGAGAAAATGCCCGTTGACTATAAAAGGAGACCAACTTTTTGGGAAGTTTTTAAGGCGAGATGCAGCACGGCAGGTATTGAGGATTTTTATAAAACTTGGTAAATAAGTCCTATCAAAAAATATTTTCAATAAAGTAAATCATGGTGGATGCTTGCTTTAAAAACAAACAAAAACCTCAGCACTTGGGAGAGAGAGGCAGGTGGACTTCTCTGAGTTTGAGGCCAACGTAGTCTAAAGAGATAAAGCACAGCCAGGGCTTTATAGAGAGCCTCTGTCTCAGAAAAACAAAAATTTACTTGAGCTAGGTTTGATGGCACACATTTATAATCCTATGGAAGGTGAGGCAGAAGCCAGGTGGATTTAATGAGTTCAAGACCAGCTTGTACTACATAGGGAATTCCTGGATGGCAGGAGCCACAGAGCTTAAACCTAATTAAAAAACAGAACACACACGCAAAAAAAAAAAAAAAAAAAAAAAAACCCAAACAAACAAAACAAAAACGAGGGGTGGGAGTGACCCTGGTTTCTGGATTTGTTCTTCAGCATGGATTAACCAGGCTTTAGCTGATTCCTATAATCTCACTGTTTGGGAGGTAGAGGCAGGAGGATTGGGAGTTAAAGGTTATCCTCAGCCACACAGTGAGCTCAAGGCCAGTAAGGGACACATGAGACTGTGTCTAAATTGAAAAGTAAAATAACTCAGTACTTGACAGTTTTCTTTGTGCTGTAAACAGCTTGTGGAGTCAGTTCTAGTTAACATAATCTTTTCCTGGTCAGTCAGGTGATGTAGAATACGTAAATAGATGGGAAATTAACCCTTTGGCTTCCAGTGGAAAGAACTGTTTTGAAACTGCTACCAGCCAATCGGAAGCATAACCCTCTTTTATGATTTATTTTAAACTGTGTGAGTGTGTGTATATGCTCTGTGTATATAGGCCCCTACAGAGGTCGGAAGAGGGCTGGATCAGATCCCCTGGAGCTGGAGTTACAGGTGGTTGTGAGCTACACGATATGGGTGCTATTCTGAATTTGGGTCTTCTGCAAGAGCAGTTAGACATTCTTAACTACTGAGTCATCCCTCTAACCCTAGTTTTCTTTGTTACATGACGTCATCATCTTAGTCTGTAACCATGACTGATTTACAACTTGCTATGTAGATCATCCTGAGTACTGGAATTGCAGTGTGAACAGCCACAGCAGGTTCTGAATTAGATATTGTAAGTAAGTACTGACAACGAATGAAAAAGATCACATCCATTAATATTATAACTGACCTGATCAGATACGTTTAAGAAGTTTGGAAGAAGTCACCTACTGTGAGTCCCTAGAAATTGTTGATTTTATTTTGAAAGCTCACATTGCATCATAAGCAACAAACTTTTGTCTTTACTATGAAAAGCTCACTTAATTCTTGAGAAAATGTCTACCAGACTCTCCACATGAGAACACTTGGTTTGTCTGGCAGTCCTTCCAAGGAAAAGATGCCCTTCTGTGAAAAGTGCACGTTCTATTCACAGCTCTGTTAAGCTTGGTCCCATTAGGTGGTTTAACGGGTAAAGGTGTGTGCTACATAGGTCTGATGACCAGTTTGTAAGCCAAAAGCCACATGAAGGTAGAAAGACCGAAGCCACTCTGACTGTACACTGGCATGTGCACACCCACATGCATCAGATACACGGTAGTAATAAGATTGGAACCTAAGCTTTATACTGCTAGTCTTTACTTAGTGAGTTGCTTTGGGTTGGTAGGAAATGTTAAGTGCTAGTGAAGTTGGGTCCACTGCATTCTGTCATGTAGATGCACCAGGTGTTTACATACCTCATTCCTTGTTGTACATTGAGGAAAGGGCAAAGGATACCATGTTCTAATTATGAAAATGTATCGAACCTCCCTGCACCATGGGTAACAGCTGTGTAGGGTGGGTGGGTCCTGTTTGACATTTGTTGCCATGTAAGAATCTTTCTCATGTCTATTTGAAAGAGATTCTCTGCCCCACACTCAAAGATAATCATTTCAGTTTTATCTATGGAGTTCATGCTTACTATGAATGTTTTTTTTTTAATTCTAAATTATGAGTATTATTAAGAAAGTTAGGGGAGTGGAGAGATGGCTCAGCAGTTAAGAGCACTGACTGCTGTTCCACAGGTTCTGAGTTCAATTCCCAGCAACCACATGGTGGCTCACAAGCATCTGTAATGGGATCTGATGCTCTTCTGGTGTGTCTGAAGACAGCAACAGTGTACTCACATACATAAAATAAATAAAGGGAGGAAGGAAGGAAGAAAGAAAGTTAGAAAGGTAATATACATAAATTCTATCTCCTTAAGTTTTGTGAAATACAAACGTTAGTGCCCTTTCAAAAGAGTAGACTGATAATCTTGCTTAATAAGCCTTTAAGTAATTAGCGGTCAGAATTCTTGTTTGTTTTTTTCTCTTTCTATTTCTTTTATTCATTTTTGTCTTATTTTTGTTTTCTGTATTTAATATGTGCTAGATTATGAAGTCTTTTGTTTTTTGGTCTTCTTTGACATAGGGTTTCTCTGTATATCCTTGGCTGTTCTGGAACTTGTTCTCTCCCTTCTTCCTCTTTCCTTCCCTCCTTCTCTGTCCTTCTCTCTCTCTCCCCCACTTCCTCTTCTTCCCTCCCCTTTCTTGGTTTTTTTTTTTTTTTTTTTGGTTTTTCGACACAGGGTTTCTCTGTGTAGCCCTGGCTGTCCTGGAACTCACTCTGTAGACCAGGCTGGCCTCGATCTCAGAAATCTGCCTGCCACCACTGCCCGGCTTCTTGATTAGTTTTTAAGATAGGGTCTAACTACATAGGCGAGCCAGCCTGAAACTTATACAGTCCTCCTTCTGGAGCCTCCCAAATACTAGAATCATAAGTTGTAATGTCATACCCAAATGATATCTTTTTGTAGCCCAGGCCAGCCTCAAACTTGAGATCTTCCTGCCTCAATCTTCAAGTGCTAGGATTGCAGTTGTGCACCACCATGCCCAGCTGGTCAACGTTTCAGGTTCCTTTTGTTTAGTATTAGTTTGCTTTATCATTTATATATCTTGATTTATTTTGTGGTGGGGACAGGGTGGTGGGTCGGTTAGAGGACAGCCTTCGAGAGTCAGTTCTCTACTTCCACCATGTGGCCCCTAGTAATAGACTGAGGTCATCAGCTGTGCTGGTAAGCACCTTTACCTGCCAGGCCATCTTGCTGCACTGTTTTATGTTTTGAAATGAAGATCTCAGTGTGTTGCCTGGAAGGTCTTCAAAACTGTAGTCCCCCTGTCTCAGACCTACTGAAAGCTGGACTAGCAGGTGAGTACAACCATGCCTCTCCTTTATTCTTTAATGTGCTCTTTGAACCTTTTTGCATTTATTTATTGATTTTACATGTGTGCACACACAAATTCCCATGACACAACAATGAGAACAACTTCTGTGTGTATATTTCAGTCTAACTCAGGTTGTCAGGCACAGCAGATGGAATCACCTTTAGCAGCCCTGTTCTTTATTATGATCTTCATTGGTTATGAATTTCTCCTTGTCATTCATTAAAACTGAGGTGAGATTTTTTTTTCTTTTTTGCAGATTTAGGACCAATAAGCCTCAATTGGTTTGAAGAACTTTCTTCAGAAGCCCCACCATATAATTCTGAACCTCCAGAAGACTCTGAATATAAGCCCCACAATTATGAACCACAGCTGTTTAAAACACCACAGAGAAATCCCTCTTACCATCAGTTTGCTTCAACTCCAATAATCTTCAAAGAAAGAAGACAAACTCTGCCACTAGACCAGTCACCTTTCAAAGAATTAGGTAATTGTAGCTATGAGTGGTGGCACATGCCTTTAATCCTAGCACTAGTGAGGCAGAAACAGGTGGATCTCTGAGTTTGAGGCCAGCCTGGTTTACTTACTAAGTTCACTACAGCCAGAGCTACATACTTTTGAGAAAGGAGAGATCCTATCTCAAAAAAGAAAAAAACAACCAAAGAATTAGTTCACTATAGATTTAACTTGGGTAAATCATGCTATGTGATGGAGGGTACCTAAGCTGGGACTTCAGGCAAAGTTGTATGTAAAATCAGCTCTGTGATGAACTGAGTTCTGTTGTGCAAATCGGTCTTGCTCAACTCTTCCCTAACTGAAGATGGAGATGGTGGAAGTACTACATGATAAACTTTGGTTCAGTGAAATAACTTAAGTATTTAATAAATGCCTCTTTTTAATACATGCCACCAGCTAAGATTTTCTGAATTATGACTTTGATATTCAAAATGACTTGTCTTGATATTTACTAAGCTATATTTCTTCAAGTTATAATAAGGTGGGGATTTTTTTCCCAAGTTTTGTTTGTTTCTTTGTTTGTTTGTTTGTTTGTTTTTTGGTTTTTCGAGACAAAGTTTCTCTGTCTAGCCCTGGCTGTCCTGGAACTCACTCTGTAGACCAGGCTGGCCTTGAACTCAGAAATCTGCCTGCCTCCGCCTCCCAAGTGCTGGGATTAAAGGTGTGTGCCACCACTGCCTGGCAAGGGTGGAGATTTTTTTGTAATCAGTTTCTTGTAAGTATTTTGATACCAGTTTCTGTGACCTAGGTGCCACTTATTTAGTAAAGTTCTGCATTCGTTCAGTCTCTGGAATATTTATTACTTCCTTGACATAGTATGCCCTTTTCTTTGGAGTACTACTTTGTGATATGCTCAGTGAGCATGTCAGACATTATTATAAATGCTATGGATATAGTCAGAAGACAAAAGACAGAATATCTACCAGTTGGTGGTGTGCACTCCTTTGATCCTAGCGTTTGGAGGCAGAGGCAGGTGGATCTCTTAGTTCAAGGCCAGCCCAGCCTACCTAGCAAGTTTTAGGATAGGCAGGGCTATATAGAAAGATTCTGTCTCAAAAAAAGGGGTGTGCAGGGAAACAAACATCTTGTACATGGTTCTGCAGGTTAAACAGCATTTTTTTCAGAGAAGCCAAATGGTTGGGTTACAACCAAGAGTGAAATGCAAAAGGAAAGCATCATAACAGTCATGTCAAATGAGGCCATCAGCCTAGCTTTGTAGTTTGGTAGTGTGTATGTTTTCATCATTTGAAAAGCCCTAGTTTCAGTGTCCAGCATCAAAGAGGAAGGAAGGGAGCAGGGGAAGTTGCAGTCATGAAGCCTTGCTTCTCCACTTGTATTCAGGAGTCTCAAACTGAATGGTGAAAGCTTTTCATAGAATGACAGTCATGTTGGACTAGGTGCCTTCCCTGATGTCATACATAGGGTGCACATATCCCTTGAGATGTATTTCTGTTAAGTTCAAAAAGTAAAAGCTCAAAATGTACAGTGTCTGTATCCTCACTGGATTGTTTTACTGTTTCAGGGAAGGTTGTTGCAAATAGTAAGCACAAAAGTCACGGCAAAAAGAAGGCCAAAACGGACCCTGTGGTGGATGCTGCCAGTCCACCTCTGAGATCTCGTCTTGGTGAAAGGTATGATGGAACTGATGGATATTTTACAAGTGCATAGGACATGTGTTATATGTTTGCTTTCAAGGTCTATTCTCACTGCAGTCCAGGCTGGTTTTGCATACAGAATCCTCTAGCCTTAGCCTCCCACAAGGCTGGGGATTCAGTCATGATCCATCATCATGCATATTGGTTATTAAAATGTGTTCAAGTAAAACATTTTCTTGCATGTGTTTGTTTCACAGAAATAAGCTGTCATCCAGATTGCTTTGGCTGAGTACCTCCTGGAAGAACTTCTATTTTTAAATAATGTATAATAGATTCCTTAATTTAGTAATTTTTATGTTAGAAACATTTACTTTGAGCCAGGTCTGGTAACCCACTCCTGAAATCCTAGGGCAGTAGGAAGCCAGCCCAGGCTAACATAGCAAGCCCTTGTCTCCAAAACCATAAAACCATTAAGCTTCAGTACTCAGTACTCTCTCTGTTGCTGTGTTGTCTTTTTAACCTGAGGCCACTGTTTCATTTTGTCTAGCCCTCTTATGCTGCGATGCACACAGGCAGTACCACAACGAGAAAAGCCAGGTACGAGCACAGGAAATGTTTGTATTTTATTGTCTTTTGAGACCTTCTTTACATCTAAGTTGTACGTATGAGTGTTTTGCCAATGTGTATGTGTATACACTGCCTGCATGCCTGGTGTCCAGAGGCTGGAAGTGAGCTGCTTGTATTGGGTCCTAGGAACACAGGCCTTTTGCAAAAGCGCCAGTGCTCTTAAGTTCTGAGCCATGTCTCTAGCCCTATGGTTTTTATTTGTAGGTTTTAGAAGTGTTAATAAAGATCTAATAATTTTCTGTTTTATTTCACCTGCAGTGGTATCTGGAAGTTTATTTTATACACCAAAACTCGAGGAGGTAAATGTTCTGCTTGGGTTACTTATGGTCTATCAGTTGAGAAGGTGACGGTATGTTTTATCCCTTTGACTTGAGAGTTGAGGTCTGTACTTAGCATACTGTCTGACAGAGGCATTAAGTGATAAAGTGTGAATGAAAAGTTAACCGTCAGTGTTTCTGTAAATTAACGGCTGCATTTCTTTGTAGGGTCAGACACCAAAACATATTTCTGAGAGTCTGGGAGTTGAAGTGGATCCTGATATGTCTTGGACAAGTTCATTAGCTACACCACCAACCCTGAGTTCCACTGTGCTTATAGGTAACAGTGACAAATGTGTACTGGACAGGAAGAGCTGGATGAGACGCTAAGTTGTCATCTCCAATCAGTCTTATGTTAGGAAGAAAATGTGGCAGGGCTGGAGAGATGGCTCAGTGCTTAAGAGCACTGGCTGCTCTTGCAGAGGATCCTGGTTTATTTCTACCATCCACGTGGTGGCTCACAACTGTCCATAGCTCCAGTTCCAGGGGAACTGGTGTCTTTTAGCCTCTACAGACTCCTGCATGCATGTGATGTACATATGTATTTGTAGACAAAACACCCATATACAGAAAATAAAAATACAGGTAAACATGTAAGCAAACATGAATGACACATATTACTGTACAGTAAGTATTTATAGAAAATTTTTGTGTTTTATTTAAAATGCAATCAAAGAGACACATATTTTAGCACTCTGTCATCTATATATGATAACTTCATACACATTTATCGAGCCTTTTTATTTTATTTCACATAAGCAACAAAAGAAGGTATAGTCACTTCGAGCTAAATAGATGAAAACTAAAGTTATTTTGCTGGAATCATCAAGCCATAGTTTGAGGGCTGGCAAGATGGCATAGAAAGTAAAAAGGCTGAAAGCTAGGAAGTGATTAGCATTAATTATGCCTTCCTGTCTGTATCATTGTCTAAATCTCCTTGAGAGCCTTTGAAGACACAACCTTAGAGATCTTTCATCTGCCCCTGTAGAGAACATTAGTATCACCAAACCACATTAAGAAACAGTGTAACAAGCCAGGCAGTGGTGGCGCACGCCTTTAATCTCAGCACTTGGGAGGCAGAGACAGGCGGATTTCTGAGTTCGAGGCCAGCCTGGTCTACAGAGTGAGTTCCAGGACAGCCAAGGCTGTACAGAGAAACCCTGTCTCAAAAAACCAAAAAAAGAAAGAAAGAAAGAAAAAAGAAACAGTGTAACAAGTCAGACTATGTTGATGTTTCTCATTGCTGGCTTTGGTCACATAATTTTCTTTCACATGTATATGTGTGAGGGAGGTGTTCCTGATATTAATTTTATTGTATGATATATAGTCCACTATAGCTAAATTGAATTTTTGTTTTTAGCCCGAGATGAGGAAGCACTTAGAACTGCATTTCCTGTTGACTCTCCTGCTGTAAGTCAGTGTCAGGCTGGTATGCCTTCACTTGATTTTGTTTTGTTAGTGGTTTTTATGCTTTTTAAAAAATATTTTGTTAATTCTGTGAGGTGGCCATTTGTGTATGTAATTAGTTTTGATCATATTCACCCTCTCTGTCTTCCTCCAACTCCCCCATGATCCTCCCCAACATGACCTACTCTCAACTTCATGTATTTTTTTCTTTTTAAAATGATCCCCTGAATCCAATTAGTGCCCCTGGGTGCATATGGATATGGGGCATTGGAGAATGGGGCAGCCTACCAGTGGCCATACCCCCCCCCCCCCCCAGATGACTCTCCCTCCCTCAGTAGCTGTCAATTACCAGTAGCTCCTCTGGTTTTGGTTTGGCAGTTATTGTTCCTTTGGCTTGTGTTTTTGACTTTTTTTGAGATGGGTTATGCTATGCAGTCCTAGCTAGCTAGCCTGAAAGTAGTTGTGTAAATCGTTTTGGCCTCAAGCTTGGGATGATCATCCTACATCTGCTTCTCACATACTACTATTATATGTATGGGTCACTGTGCCTCAGCTATCCTGCATTTTTTAACTGCAGTTTATGATTTTCCAAAGCTTTTGGAGATGTTTCTTAGCATGATCCTTATATACAATTTCTTCCTATAAAATTTGTTCTGTCTTTCTATTTGGTAACAAGTATATATGTGTGTAATGTAAGAGTTATACTAATTAATGATTTTGAACATAATTTCTGCAGACTTTGAAAAGCTGTTTTTCTAACCACAATAACAGTCTGAAAAAGAATGATAGATCTGTCTCCTCTGTAACTGACAGTGAAAACAAAAATCAGCAAGAAGCTTTTAGTCAGGGTAAGTCTATCTATTTAGTTGAGCTACTGATCTGAATTGATGACACTGTTCTTTTCTTAGGGAGAAATGCCACTGCATTTCTTTCTCAACCTCTGAAATATAGAAGATAGAAACTAACTTGATAGATTTCTTTTTGTAGTTGTAGTAGTACAGAATTGACTTGCTACATCTGGATTGATAGTTCTTGGAATAGTAGATTGAATACATAGCACTTTTAAAGGTATACACTTAATTGTATAGAACTGAAAAAAAAATGAGTTATTTAAGATTAGGAATAAAGACTTTCAATCCATTGGGATCCGATTTTAGGAGAAGAGTGACTTGCCAGAAGAACTGGCATTCAGAATAACCTCTTACTGCTGACCTGTGTATTATTTAATGTGAGTGATTTCTGAAAAGAATTGAGAGAATAATATGAATATGGTTGCATTGTAAATGTTATAATGTGCTTTTGTTTTGAATTTTAACAGGATTGGGGGAAATGTTTGGGGATTCATCTGACAAAAGAAATAGCTTCAAAGACTGCCTTAGAAAGCCAATACCAAATGTTCTAGAAGATGGGGAGACAACTGTAGATACTTCCGAAGACGATAGTTTCTCATTATGTTTTCCTAAACGTAGAATCAGAAATCTACAGAAAATGAGAATGGGCAAGACCAGGAAGAAAATTTTCAGTGAAACAAGAACTGATGAATTATGTGAAGAAGCTAGAAGACAAGCTGATGATAAAAACTCATTTACACTTGAAATCGAACCAAGAGATAGTGATCCCTTAGATCCAGGTGTAACAAACCAGAACCCCTTTTACAGCCAGAGTGAGGAAATCTGCAATGAAGCTGAACAATGTTCAGACAGTAGATGGTCTCAGCCAAGCCTATCTGCTCTAAATGAAACTCAGACAGGAAAAATACCCTTACTTCATATTTCTTCTCATAACCAAAATATTTCAGAAGAAGATTTCATAGATATGAAGAAAGAAGGTACTGGCTCTATTACTTCAGAAAATTCTTTTCCTCATATTTCTAGTCTCCCAGAACCAGAAAAGATGTCCAGTGAGGAAACTCTGGTAGATAAGGAACATGAAGGACAGCATCTTGAATCATACAAAGATTCCGTTGCAGGGAAGCAAATGGTGTCTGGAACAAGTCAAATAGCCTGTCTGTCTCAGAATATCAAGAAGTCTATATTCAAGTTGAGAGAGCCACTTGAAGAGACTTTGGGTACTGTTTTCTCAGATAGTATGACCAGCTCAGCCTTTACAGAAGAACATGAAGTCTCTGCAGGTAGATTGGGAATACATACTGCATGCTCACAGAGGGAAGATTCTTTATATCCTAGTTCAGCTGACACTGGAAGCTGGCCAGCCGCTCTCACTGACACTTCTGCAACTGTGAAAAATGCAGGTTTAATATCCACTCTAAAAAATAAAAGAAGAAAGTTTATTTACTCTGTAAGTGATGATGCATCTCATCAAGGAAAAAAACTACAGACACACAGACAGTCAGAGCTTACTAACCGTTCAGCCCAGTTTGAAGCAAGTGTTTTTGAAGTACCACTCACCTTTACAAATGTGAATTCAGGTATTTTTCTTTTTTTCTTCTAATATATATAGTCTCATGGATGAGATTAAATTCTCTTATTTGAATATACTTTAAATTTTTTTTTTTTTTTTAAAGAAACACCTGCTGTCTTTCTGTAGTTTCTCAGATCTCTTTTTGGTTTGGTTTGGTTTTGGTTTTGTGAGAGCCCTGTGTAGCCCTGGCTATCTTGGAACTCAGGCTGGTCTGGAACTCAGATACCCACCTGCCTCTGCTTCCCCAGTGCTTGGATTAAATGTGTGGGGCACTCTGCCTGGTTCTAGGAATCATTTAATCTCAGATGGTACCTATATAGATTATTGTTGAGACTTTGGACTTGGCATTTAGAATTATGTCACTCAAATTTATTAGAGCAATTTGCACCATATATTGTTGACTCTTTGTTTTTTGTTTTTGTTGCATTTGTTTATTGTGTATATGTGTGTGGTCATATGCATGGCACATGGTGTATATGTGGAGGTCAGTGGATTACTTGTCTGAGTCAGTTTTCCTTTTTCACCAGGTGGGTTTTCAGGTCCTCAGGCTTAATGGCAAATCATTCATTGCACCCTAAGCCACCAAGCCATCGTCCTCCCTTTTTACTCTATGCTGGTTTTGAACTTGGCCTTGAGAGATCATCCTGCTTTAGTCTCCCAAGTAGTTGGGACCACAGACATACACCACTGTGTCTTGCTCTATGGCTCCTAAGACAGTTTTCTATCCAAACACATTAGGAACTTGACTACTTAGCTCCTGCTTTAGGGTGTTTAGTATGTAAAAACTGGATAGCTGAAAATAGTGTTTACTTGGGAAGCTGAAGTAGGAGGATTAATTAAGCCTAGGAATTCAAGGCCAGCCTAGGGAACATAAGGAAGATTTCTACTGCTTTCCTCATCTCCATCATGTGAAATCAGTTTTGTCTCCCTGTGAGAAATTGTAAATGACATGGTGAATAGGTAGGTGGTAGTGGTACTAGAGTATCAAAGAGTTGTTTGAGCTCCAGGAGCCCTGGAGTTTATAGATACTTATGCCACACCCAGAATTTTATGGGGATGCTGGGGACCTGGATTCAGGTCTGCATGACAAGTAGTTCACTGACTGAGCTATCTCCTTAGCCTTTTCATGTAGAAATTTAGTAACTTCAGAATTGCAGCCATTCAGGAATCTGTTTTAAATTTGTCGGTCACCCTTTGCTCTTCTTGTACTTCTTTTTTTTTTTTTTTTTTTTTTGGTTTTTTGAGACAGGGTTTCTCTGTGTAGCCCTGGCTGTCCTGGAACTCTGTAGACCAGGCTAGCCTCGAACTCTCGAACCCAGAAATCCGCCTGCCTCTGCCTCCCAAGTGCTGGGATTAAAGGCGTGCGCCACCACCGCCCGGCCTTCTTGTACTTCTTATTTTAAACACTTTAACTTAGGAAAAGCACTGAGTGGATGCAATTAATCCTACTTTAACTTGTCCCATCACTCTGTATTCTTATGCTTAGGTATGCCAGATTCTTCTGTCAAAAAAAGCTGTTTACTGAATGATTCTGAAGAGCCATCTTTGTCCTTGACCAACTCTTTTGGGACTGCTGCAAGTAAAGAAATTAGTTATATTCATGCATTGACATCTCAGGATCTTAATGACAAAGAAGCAATAGTCAGTGAAGAAAATCCACAGCCATATCCAGCCCTAGAAGCTGACTTTCTGTCATGCTTGCCAGAAAGACCTTGTGAAAATGATCAAAAAAGTCCAAAAGTTTCTGACAGGAAAGAAGTCTTAGTCTCAGCATGTCTTCCTGCAGGAAGGCATGCAGCAGCAGTGCAACTTAGCAGCATTAGCTTTGAATCACAGGAAAACCCTCTCGGTGGCCTCAACAGAACAAGTACTCTTAAATTAACTCCCAGCTCAAAGCCACCTCTGTCAAAGGCAGTTGTGGTTTCTAGAGGGAAAATGTGTAGAATGCCAGAGAAAATGCAATGTGAGAGTTGTAAAGATAATATTGAATTAAGCAATGAAATGTGTGTCTTAAGGGAAAATTCTAAAACCTCTGAGCTTCTGCCACCTGGAGGATATATAATAGAAGTGTCCTCTTCAGTGAAGTCACAGTTCAATCAAAATGCAAAAATAGCAGTCATACAAAAGGACCAGAAAGACTCATCTTTTATTTCAGAAGTAACAGTCAATATGAATTCTGAAGAACTTTTCCCAGACAACGAGAATAATTTTGCTTTTCAAGTAACCAATGAAAGCAATAAGCCTGATTTAGGAAGTGCTGTGGAACTCCAGGAAGAAGACCTCAGCCATGCAAAAAGGCTCAAGAACTCTCCCATGGCAGTAGATGGAGCCTTAGATGATGAGCATGCAGCCCAAGTGTTGATTACAAAGGACTCGGATTCATTGGCTGTGGTCCATGATTGTATAGAGAAGAGCAGAAATATTATAGAGCAGCATCAGAAAGGAACCACAGACAAAGATTTCAAGTTGAATTCCTCCTTGGATATGAAATCGGATGGGAACAATGATTATTCAGACAAATGGTCAGGGTTTTTTGATCCAGTCCTGAACCATAATTTTGGAGGTAGCTTCAGAACAGCTTCCAATAAAGAAATAAAACTTTCAGAGCATAATGTCAAGAAAAGCAAAATGTTCTTCAAAGATATTGAAGAACAGTATCCTACTAGTTTAGCTTGTATTGACATTGTTAATACCCTTCCATTAGCAAAACAGAAGAGACTAAGTGAACCTCATACATTTGATTTGAAATCAGTTACTACTGTATCTATACCGTCTCATAGTCAATCATCTGTTTCTCATGAAGATACTCACACAACACCTCAGATGTTATGTTCAAAGCAAGATTTTCATTCAAATCATAATTTAACGCCCAGCCAAAAAGCAGAAATTACAGAACTTTCTACTATTTTGGAAGAATCAGGAAGTCAGTTTGAATTCACACAGTTTGGAAAGCCAAGCCACATAGCACAGAATAATACATCTGAAGTGCCTGGAAACCAGATGGTTGTAAGTACTGCTTCTGAGGAGTGGAAAGATGTTGATCTTCATCTCCCAGTGGACCCCTCCTCTGTAGATCAGACAGATCACAGCAAGCAATTTGAAGGTTTGGCTGGAGTTAAACAAAGCTTTCCTCACCTGTTCGGAGACACTTATAACAGAAATACATCTTGTTTTTTACCAAATATAAATGAAAAGGAGTTTGGAGGATTTTGTTCTGCTCTTGGCACAAAACTTAGTGTGTCTAATGAGGCTCTGAGAAAAGCTATGAAACTGTTCAGTGACATTGAAAATATTAGTGAGGAGCCTTCTGCAAAAGTAGGACCAAGAGGATTCTCTTCAAGTTCACATCATGATTCAGTGTTTAAGATAAAGAAACAAAACACTGATAAAAGTTTTAATGAGAAATCTAGTAAGTGCCAAGTAACATTACAAAATAATATTGAAATGACTACCTGTGTTTTTGTTGACAAAAGTCCTGAAAATTATGTAATGAATACAAAACATGAAGATAACAACTATACTGGCTCTCAAAGAAATGATGGTAGTAAATCAAGTACAAGTGACACAGTTTATATTCATAAAGGTGACAGTGATTTACCTTGTGCTGCTGATCAAGGCAATAAATATCCTGAGTCAAGTACCCAGTATGTGAGGGAGGAAAACACACAAATTAAGGAAAGTGTATCAGATTTAACATGTTTGGAAGTCATGAAAACTGAGGAAACATGTCATATGAAATCTTCAGGTAAAGAACAATTACCTTCAGATAAGATGGAACAAAACATAAAAGAGTTTAATATATCCTTTCAGACTGCAAGCGGGAAAAATATCAGAGTCTCTAAAGAGTCATTAAATAAAAGTGTGGATATTTTTAATCAAGAAACAGAGGAAATGACCGTCATTTCAGATTCTTTGAATTCTAAAATTCTTTGTGGCATAAATAAGGACAAAATGCGTATTTCATGTCACAAGAATGCTATCAGTATTAAAAAGGTCTTTGAAGAACATTTTCCAATTGGAACTGTCAGTCAATTACCAGCTCTTCAGCAGTATCCTGAATATGAAATAGAAAATATCAAAGAACCTACTCTGTTGAGTTTTTATACAGCTAGTGGGAAAAAAGTCAAAATCATGCAGGAATCTTTGGACAAAGTGAAAAACCTTTTTGATGAGACACAATATGTTAGTTTTAATCATCAAGAAACAAAATCCCTAAAGAACAGAGAGGACTATAAAGAAGGACTTACATTAGCATATGAGAAAATTGAAGTATCTGCCTCAAAATGTGAAGAAATACAGAACTTTGTCTCTAAGGAGACTGAAATGCTACCCCAGCAAAATGATCATATGTATAGGCAAACTGAAAATGTCACAACATCAAATGGTACCTCTTCCAAAGTACATGAAAACATAGAAAATAAAATAGAAACTGAAGATTTTGCTTTGGCATGTTATATGGGGGACGGTAGAAAAACTTGTGTCAGAGAGTCTTCTCTATCCAAAGGCAGAAAATGGCTTAGAGAACAGGGTGATAAGCTTGGAACAAGAAATACTATCAAAATCGAATGTGTAAAGGAACACACTGAAGATTTTGCAAGAAATGCCTCATATGAACGTAGTTTAGTCATTATCAGAACTGAAATTGATACAAATCATGTCTCTGAAAACCAAGCTTCAACTCTCTTTAGTGACCCTAGTGTGTGTCACAGCTATCTATCCCATTCTAGTTTTTGTCATCATGATGATATACATGATTCAGGATGTTTCTTTAAAAATACAATTGCTTCTGATGTTCAGCCAGACATGAAGAATGCTGAAGGCAATGCCATTTCTCACAAAGTATCTGCTACAAAAGAAAGAAATCTACATTCACAAACTGTAAATGAAGATTGTGTTCAGAAACTAGAGACTAATGCTTCACCACATGCAAATAAGAATGTAGTCATTGACTCAGCTATGCTGGATTCAAGGAATTGTAAGGTAGGCTCACCCGTATTCATTACTGCTCATTCACAAGAAACTGTAAGAACAAAAGAGATATTCACAGATAACTGCAATAAAATAATCGAGCAAAACAGAGAGAGTAAACCAGACACTTGCCATACAAGCTGTCACAAAGCATTGTATGATTCAGAGGATTTTATATGTCCTAGCTCTTCAGGTGATATTGCCATAAACTCACATAAGGCTATTTTTTATCCTCAGAATGAACAAATTTTACAGAATAGCCAAAGTGTGTCTGGACTGAAGAAAGCTGCAACACCACCTGTTAGTTTGGGAACTTGGGATACATGTAAATCTAGAAGAGAACCTCCCGAGGCAGTCCATCCTTCACGCACTTACGGGATTTTTAGCACAGCAAGTGGAAAAGCTGTACAAGTATCAGATGCTTCATTAGAAAAGGCAAGGCAAGTGTTTTCTGAGATGGATGGTGATACTACACAGTTGTCTTCCATGACCTCACTGGAAAGTAATGAAAAATCACATCAATCTGTGAAAAGAGAAAACTCGGTGGTGCATAACACCCAGGGTGTATTGTCACCCCCAAAAACCCTCCCAGGCAATGTCAGTTCATCTGTATTCTCTGGATTTAGCACTGCAGGTGGAAAACTGGTCACAGTGTCAGAAAGTGCCTTACAGAAAGTTAAAGGAATGTTAGAGGAATTTGATTTGATCAGAACTGAACATACTTTCCAACATTCACCTGCACCTGAAGACATATCAAAAATACTTCCTCAACCTTGTGTTGAAAACAGAACCCCAGAATACCCTGTAAACTCTAAATTGCAGAAAACCTACAATGATAAATCCAGCTTACCAAGTAACTATAAAGAAAGTGGTTCTTCTGGCAATACTCAATCTATTGAAGTTTCTCCTCAGCTCTCTCAGATGGGAAGAAAGCAAGACACACAGTTGGTATTAGGAACAAAAGAGTCCCATAGTAAAGCTAATCTTTTGGAAAAAGAAACCTTACCCCAAAACATAAAAGTAGAAACTGATGAAATGAAAACATTTTCTGATGTTCCCGTGAAAACAAATATAGGAGAATGTTACTCCAAAGAGCCAGAGAACTATTTTGAAACAGAAGCAGTGGAGATTGCCAAAGCTTTTATGGAAGATGATGAGCTAACAGATTCTGAACAGATTCATGCCAAATGCTCACTGTTTACATGCCCCCAAAACGAGGTTTTGTTAAATTCGAGAACTAGGAAAAGAGGAGGAGTGGCTGTTGACACAGTTGGTAAGGATTTACTTTTGCTTTGGTCTGCTGGTCTCTCAAGTGTTTCATCCTCAATAGTCTCATAGGTTACAGTGTTAAATACTATCTCCCCACTCCCACCCCCACCCCCACCCCGTGGAGTTTGGAAGACAGTGATTTAGAACTTGGTATCTGTAAGTCTGTACCAAAAAGCCATATTTTAAGGATCATTAGTGTACTTTTAGTTGGGGTTAAATTATGCTAAGAAGTTTTATTTTCAACAAAGCTAGTGAAATGTTAATATTTCCCATGTGTGTAAAGAAGTTCCAATGCTGGCAGTTAGAAGCTGGTTTCTAGTATAGCCCCATGGCTTAATTAGTACTGTGTATGACTTAGTTACTGTACTCTTCATGTGTTACCTCACTTTTCTGAGCCTGTTCCCATATCCATAAAGTGTAGTTAATCCCTCTTGCAAGGTAATTGTAGATAAAATGTTTAGTATTACCAGGCATGGTATTTGATAGCTGTAATACCAGCATTCAAGAACCTAAGGCAGGAGGATTGTTAAGTTCAAGGCAGCCTGGGTTAAATATCATGATCCTGTCTCAAAAATATCCATCAATTAATTGATTAAATGTTTAAAATCACAAAATTTAAAATAAGTTACTCAACAGTGAACCTGACATGTTACTCACCTAGGCAGAGAACTTACTGACTTACTGTTTGCTTGTTTCTTTCACAAATATTCTAAACACAGTTTAATAATAAATAATGTCCTCTTGTTTTTAGAATTATATATATATATATATATATATATATATATATATATATAATATATATATATATATGATTTTCCTGCATGTATGTCTTTGTACCGTGTACATGCCTGGTATCTGACAGAAGAGGGTATTGGATCCCCTAGAACAGGTGTTATAAAGAGCAGCAAGCTGCCACATGGGTTCTGGGAACATTTCCTCTGGGGGATTATTAGTGCTCTTAACCACCGAGCCGTCTCTCTGGTCTCGTACTGTTCTCAGTACTATTGGACTATATTCTAATTTCTCATTTAAATGTCTAATGATTCAGTGAAACTATTAGGTTAATACACAGTGAGCATGTTTTGGTAGTATCTCAGGCTAGAAAGAATCTTTAAACATTCAATTAGTTGACATTGGCAATCATGATCAATTTCAAAACTAACATTCCAACGCTCATGTGGGTGATTTAAAAGACATTGGCTCTCTTTACAAGCTTGTGGACTCAATGTTGGAATAATTATATATCTTCTTGTCTAGTCCCACCATATTGTAGAGTGATGTCTGGAAGTTAGTTTATTATAAGCCATCCTGCCAGAAACAGGTTTACTTCAACGAGTATTATACAGGTCACATTCTGTATGAGCAAATTTAACTTTATAATACTTTATCTGTGGGGTTTTGTTTTGTTTCATTGTTTATTATGTATAAGTCAATACTTTAGTTATAAAAGGAGAAATCTAGGCTTTTAAAAGGTAAAACTGATATAACTACAAATATGTGTGGAACTTTCTTTTTAGGACAACCCCCAATCAAAAGAAGCTTAGTAAATGAATTTGACAGGATAATAGAAAGTAAAGGAAAATCCTTAACGCCTTCAAAAAGCACTCCAGATGGTAAATTTGTTTTTATTCATTTTTTTTTCCTGAAGAAGTACTCTTCATGTTTTTCTTACACTTTCCTCTCTTGATTCATTTGCGTGTACAGAATGGTTTAATTGTTAAACTTTTGGTGTATTTGGTATATGGATGATTCATCCATAATGCCTACTAGGGCACTGACAAAGCTGTAGTTGTAGAGTGTAAGATGCTTATGAAATAGTGACTTTAGACTTAATGAAAGTGGTAAATGATCTACACCATTTCATCAGAGTCACATGATCGCTGCTACCAAATGAGGTAGGCATTTCTCAGCCGTGATTTGACTCAATCCTTAACTACATATGCCTTGCCTCTTAGACCATTACAGTCTTTTGACTTCTATTTTTTTTTTTTACCTTTGTTTGTCTGTCTGTCTGTTTTTCAAGACAAGGTGTGTAGCCCTTGCTTCATGGAACTCATTTTGTAGACCAGACTGGCCTAGAACTCACAGAGATCCACCTGCCTCTGCCACCCGGGAACTGGGGTTAAAGGTGTGTGCCACTACTACCTGGTTTAACTTACTTTTTCTTTTTTCTTTTTGAATTTTTTAAAAAATTTATTCATTTTTATTATGTATACAGCTTTCTGCATGTATGCCTGCAGCCCCAAAGAGAGCCCCAGATCTCATTACAGATGGTTATGAGCCACCATGTGGTTGCTGGGAATTGAACTCAGGACCTCTGGAAGAGCAGTCAGTGCTCTTTAACCTCTGAGTCATATCTCCAGCCCTTCCCCACCCTGCCCCCAGCTTAACTTTTTGTATTTAAAATAAAATCAAAAAACCTATTTAGTATCCATGTATATAAGTGCAGTGCCAGAGGAGGCCAGGGCCATCAGATTCCTGGAGGTAGAGTTACCTTCAGCCGTGTGCTGGGAATTCAACTCAGGTCCTGTGCAAGAGCAGTCACTTCCTATGAGCCATCTCCCCAGCTCCAAGTTGACACACTTCATTACCCAACATTCAACCACCTTTGTCACTAATAGACTTTTTAGTCTGAAAAGTCTTTTTTTTTAATTTACTTTTTTTTAAAGATTTATTTATTTATATGAGTATACCATAGCTGTCTTCAGACACACCAGAAGAGGGTATCAGATCCCATCACAGGTGGTTGTGAGCCACCATGTGGTTGCTGGGAACTGAACTCAGGACCTTTGGAAGAGCAGTCAGTGCTCTTAACCACTGAGCCATCGCTCCAGCCCCTGAAAAGTCTTAAATATTTGAAAATATGCAGACCAGACACAAACTTCTCTAAATTCTAATTTTCACTTAAAAGCTAAATTTTACCCCAGACAAAAATATTGTTACTATTGTCCTTGTAAGTAATTGTCCTAGTAAATACAACCTTATTTCATTTATTTAAGAAAAACCTCAGGCTGCTAAAGTGGTTTCAGCTGGTAAAAGCACCTGCCACCCCAAAGCCTGATGATGTGAGTTCAATCCCAGTGCACCACATTTTAGGACAGCACTGACTTCTGAAAGTTGTCCTCTCACCTTCTCCTGCGTACACTGCCCCGCCCCACACATGTACATACATGGGTGCACACACATGTACACATACATGCACAATAATAAGTAAAATTAATTCTAATAAAAAATTACTGAATACCCAAATCTTCATAACTAGTATTGCTTATTTTCTCAAGTACCCATGGTAATCTTGTGGCAAAAGAGTAGCTACTATGTGTCAGCCTAACTGAAAATAAACTGTCTCAAGATACATGTGACTTCTATAGGCAGATGTACAAGCTGCTCAGATGTTCTCCTGTACAGTGAACAGGTATACGTAGTAGTTCTGATGGTGGGGCCTTATAAGATCGTTGTGGGTACTTAGACCACCCTTAGAATTACCTTTCTGTAGAATAGATGTAGTTGGTTCAAATATAGAGGCATAAGGATTCTGGGTCTGGGGAGTTAGCTTAGTGATTAAGAGCACTTCCTGTTCTTGGAAAGGATCCAGGTTTAAATTCCCAGCATCCACATGGAGGCTCCCCACCTCCTCAGGCACCAGACATGGTTCACAGACATACATGCGGGCAAAACACTCATGCACATAAAAAAGAATTTTTTGCAATTCTTAGCCTTATAAATCCTTAAAGAAGTATTATTGTGCTGTGTTTTCCTGTCAGAATAATTCTGCATGTGCAGAATTGATAGGTTTTGTTTATTTCTTTCCAGCTTTAGGATTTTTGTATTATTTTATTTTATCTGTATTTGTATTTTACCTGCATGTATGTATGTGTACCATGTATGTGCCTGCTGTGTGGCAGCCAGAAGAAGACATTGGATTCCCTTGTAACTGGAGACAGTTGTGAGCCACCACGTAGGTGCTGGGAATTGAACCCTGGTCCTCTGCAAGAGCAGCTAGTGCTGAGCCATCTCTCCATCTTCCAGTTTTCTTATTCTTTAATTTTACATTGGAGCAAACAAAACATTTGTATAACTCATTCATAAATGCTGTAGAAAGCTATACTTGGAGAAGTCTTAAATACAACCCAGTCATACTCCAGGCTAATCTCCAGTTTCCCTACCTCCTACTCCATGGTTTGCTGTTTATCTTTAGAAACATTTTATAATATCTGTCTGCAGTTTCAGACCTTGCTTGCTTTTTTTATTTTTATTTTTTTAACAGTTTCTATAGAAGCTCTCAAAAATTGCCAATGCCAACTATATTTCAAGTCATCATGGCAGGGTATTGGGAAAAGTTTTCAGTTAGGTATAATTGCACCTCAGATAAACCTCACTGGCTGTAGCACTGTCAATGTGCAAAGTTAGGGAATGCCGCTTAGTGAATATGTAAATGTCTTTCTTACTCATTTGCATGGTTGCATAATACTTGATCATGTGGCTGTTTATTCAGTTAATCCCTAATTAGTGGACAAATTGTAGGTCTAATAGCCATAAATTACATATTGAGAATGAATATTATCTAAAGCTTTGCTTCTGAACCTTCATAAAACCACACTTTAGAGATGATATTTACACTGGCTATGAGCTAACTGTAATGATTACTAACATCAGGACTAAATTTAAAACTGATTTCTCTGAGCTTTGAAATGTTGGTTTTTTTGTTTTGTTTTGTTTTGTTTTTGTTTTTGAGATAGGGTTTCTCTGTGTAGACCTGGCTGTCCTGGAACTCACTCTGTAGACCAGGCTGGCCTCGAACTCAGAAATCCACCTGCCTCTGCCTTCCAAGTGCTGGGATTAAAGGCGTGTGCCACCACTGCCCGGCTTGGTTATTTTGTTTATAGTTATAATTAGTTTGATTTGCAAGTTCTGTATACTTGATAATTATTTATTAAATATCCATAATGTGTATTGAAAACTTCAGTGTCTTAACAAAATTTTGTGAACACTTACAATAATGTGTAATAAACAGAAATGGAAACTAAAACCTCTTACTTTTCACTAATACTGTAGTATGGGATTTTTTTTAGGCACAATAAAAGACAGAAGATTGTTCACACACCACATGTCTCTAGAGCCGATTACTTGTGAACCCTTCTGGTAAGATTTTTTTTTTAATCTTAGTATAACATAAGAAAAGGGTGATTTTTTTTTTAAAGTTACTAACTCTAACTTATTTAGAATGAGTTAGAAATGTGTGCTAGAAAATGTATAACTATCTGGAAGAAAGAAAAGCAAGACAGGTGGGATTGGAGTGGAAGGGTGAGGCTCAGAGAAGACTGAGTTACTAGCATCAAGTCCCCTGCAGGTCGGCAGGAGAGTGGTGCAGAGAAGGAGGGGCCACACTGAGAGCGCACTGTGAAGGGGCTCCTGTGGGAGGAAGGCTGTGATGTCAATGGATGGGGATTAGTGTAAGGAGTAATAACAGCCTTGGATGCTGTGTTATCATTCTATGGTGTAAATACTCAGAAGAGCAAATCAGTCACCAGATCTGTCTCTCAACACATGTGCCCATGCGTGTGCACACACACACACAAAGTACGTGCGTTTGTTGCTAAACAAACATACTTAATTACTCTCTTTCCAATGCAGCTCAAGTAAAGAAAGACAAGGAATCCAGAGCCCACATTTTACCTCGCCTACTCAAGGGCTTCAGTCTAAAGGGCATCCTTCCAGACACTCAGCTTTGGAAAAGTTTCCAGTTTCAGTCTTACCGGCTACAAGAACTGAAAGGACCAGACATTCAGGCAAATCCACCAAAGTCTTTGTCCCGCCTTTCAAGATGAAATCACAGTTTCACGGAGATGAACATTTTAATAGCAGGAACATTATTTTGGAGGGAAAGAACCAAAAGAGCACAGATGGAGACAGTGAAGACGGGAACGACAGCGACATTCGTCAGTTTAACAAAGGTGGCTACCCTCGGGGGGCCACTAGGATTTTCACAGGGTGTGAGAAGTCTTTAGGTATTATATACCATTTGTTTGACATAGTTTTTGTCTTTTTGTAATAATTTTTAAAATCTTGATTTCTGTGTGTGTACAGGTGCATGAGCTGCTGCACACATGGAGAACAACTTTGGGGAGTTGGTTTTCTCCTTCCATCCTGTATTCTGGGATTTGAACTCAGGTCATCAGGCTGTGCACAAAGCACTTTTACCTGCTGAGCCATCTGCTGGTCCTAGTTTTCACCTTTTGATTAGAGCAGTGGTTCCCAACCTTCCTAATGCTGTGACCCTTTAATACAGTTCCTCATGTTGTGGGGACCCCAGTATTTTCATTGCTACCTCATAACTGTAATTTGGCTGCTATTATGAATTGTAAATGTTTGTGTTTCCCGATGGTCTCAGGTGACCCCTTTGAAAGGGTCCTTCAAGCTTCAAAGGGGTCACAACCCACAGGTTAAGAACTACTAGACTAGGGCTGGAAAGATGGTTCAGTGGTTAAGAGTACTGACTGCTCTGCCAGAGGTCCTGAGTTCAATTCCCAGCAACCACATGGTGGCTCACAACCATCTGTAATGTGATTTGATGCACTCTTCTAGTATGTGTCTGAAGACACCTGAAGTGTACTCATATAAATAAAAAAATAAATCTTTAAAAAAAGAAAAGAACCACTACACTAGATTGCTATACTATTAATGTTATCCTTAGTATTTTCTCCCTTTTGTGGTGATGAGTAATTTCAGACGTTTTTTAAGATTTATTTATGTATGTACATAAATGCCCTTTCTTTGTGCACACCAGAAGGGGCATCGGATCCCATTACAGATGGTTGTGAGGCACCGTGTGGGTGCTGGGAATGAAATTCAGGACCTCTGGAAGAGCAGCCAGTGTTCTTAACCACTGAGCCATCTCTCCAGCCCCAGACCTTTTTTTAACCTTTCAGATTTTCTGAAGCCAAAAAATTAGGTTCAAATTGTTTTAATGATTTCTTTCAAGGATAACTACTTAGTGACTTTTCTTCTGGTTTTGTTTTTGTTTTCTTAAACAAAAGCCAGGAGTTGGGGCTGTTTCCATGGATAAAGTGCTTGTTGCACAGCATAAAGACTTGAGTTCAGTCAGATCTCTAGAACCCATGTAAGACTGAAGTGTGTAGTACACACATGTAACTCTGATGCAAAAGAGGCTGAAACTGGAGGATTCCTAAAGCTTTCTGCCCTACCAGCCTGGTCAGATTGATAAGATCTGGATTCAGAGGCCTTGTCTCCAAGTGGAGAGTGTTGGATTAAAATATTCCATTTAATCTCTGGCCTTCACATACATGTGTGTGCACACGCATATACAGGTACACACAAGACAAACATAATGGTGGTGCAAGGCCAGATATGATGTGCTCAGGCTGTGATGCCACCACTCAAGAGTCTGAGTCAGGAGCATTGTGAGTTCTAGGCTAGTGTGGGCTACATAGCAAGACCCTGTTTCAAAAAACAAAAAGCAAACACAAAAGCCAAAACAGCCTCCTGTGGGAACTGTATAAACCCAGTTCCCACATGAAGATGCTGGAACAGAAAAAATGCTAGTTCAGTGTTAGCTTAGACTTGAGTGAGGCAAGAAGGCTGTGACTGGAGTTATTTTTATCATGTTATTTTTCTCTTCCAAAACTGAGCTGAAAACAATTACATGTACTTCTGTTCGGTATTCAACCTGAAGACTTAACAGGGATTCGGCTCCCTGTTCTCTGCATGTTGAATCAGAACAAATCAATACACATCTTTCATAAAATAGGCTGGGCTTTTTTGGGGAGGTTGGGAGGGTGGAGACAGAGTTTCAAATTCCTGGCTGTCCTGGAACTTGCTCTGTAGACCAGGCTGGCCTCAAACTCAGAGCTCCACCTGCCTCTGCCTCCTGAGTGCTGGGACTAAAGGTGCTGCACCACCCAGCAGTAAATAAATTATCTTTATTGCTTTGAGACAGGTTCTCTCTCTGTAGACTAGGCTGGCCTTGAACTTACAGAAGATCTTCCTGCCTCCGTGCCCCCGAGTGTGGGGCTAAAGGTGTGTGCCATCAGCACTCTGTTTATTTCACTTTTGTAAACTATCCTTTAACAGATTTAATGGCAAGCCTTCAGAATGCCAGAGACCTACAGGATATACGAATTAAAAACAAAGAAAGGCATCATCTCTGTCCACAGCCCGGCAGTCTGTATCTTACAAAATCATCCACGCTGCCCCGGATCTCTCTGCAGGCTGCAGTAGGAGACAGCGTTCCTTCTGCGTGTTCTCCTAAGCAGGTACACTGTGATCCTAAGGGAAACCTCATGCTGTTAGCTAGAGTCTGCAAGTTGTCTTGTTTAGAGAGTGAACAGATTACTGCTGACCAAAGGCAACAGGATCCTGCTGCCTCATCAGTCTAGAGGGGCAGCCTCCCTCCTCTGCAGGCTTGTCCTCCCTTACCAAAGTGATCTGTGCTGCACAGCTGCTGCTTGTGCTCCAGATCTCGCTGTCTTGATGGCGCAAGTGCCGTGAGCCAGGCACGAGGGGGATCTAATCAGCCTTGATTTAAGGTGTGAGTGACCACTTTCTGGAGGTTCTGATATCTGATTCTAGTGAAGACTTTACTGTTTGGTAGAGTGTTCCTGAGCAGAAGAAGGCTGCAAGTGACAGCAGTGACACTAACAGTATGTGCTGAACTTGTGTGTGCACTGGACACTCCTCTCAGAGCTAGCTTCACATGCCTCAGTGACCGATGGCTTCAGCCTCACAGCCTCCTGTGAGAAGTACGTTATCATTTCATCAGGCAGAGAGATAACAGCCCAGAGTCACCTAATTTGAGCAGAAGAGTCGTGTTCCAACACATGGGTCTGACCCCAGAGCCACTGCCTGAAGGGAAAGACACTTAGTTGGTCATGCTTGGGTGAGAGAGGAAACACCTGATAGAGCCTGCACTTTCACTTCTGGGCTCTAAAAGGAAATTATTAGCACCTATTATTTGTACAACATAATAGGCAAAATCATGGAACACTTCGTGAATTCGGATGTCTGCCTGGTGCAGGGGCCATGCTAATCTGTGTTTCATTCAGTTTTAATATACATACTGCTGAAGAAGCCAGCCTTCCACTGGAGAAGGCGGACATTGTTCATCTGCTTGTTCCCAGAGTGCCATCTTGTGACAGATTTAAAGACAGGAAGATACAAGAGGAAACGAAGTGTAACCAACTCTCGAATACATGAGCAGTTTATAAACATACTTTTAGTACAGAGGGGATTTGTATTGTTTTGTGTGTGCATGTCTGTGCGGTGTGCATGCGTGTTTCATACCCAGTGCTTTTCATATGCTAAGCACCATTTTGTCATTGACTTATACACTTGAGCCAGTTAATTATTTTATAGTGACTATTTTAGTACTTAAGTGAACAGTTCTGGATAAGTTCAGTTTTGTTTATATTCTAGGTCTGTATTTGACTTTTATTTATTATCATACTTTTCTATTGTTTTGTACAGCTCTATATGTATGGCGTTTCTAAAGAGTGTATAAACATTAACAGCAAGAACGCTGAGTATTTTCAGTTTGACATTCAGGATCATTTTGGTAAAGAAGATCTGTGTGCTGGCAAAGGCTTTCAGTTGGCAGATGGTGGATGGCTGATCCCGTCCAATGATGGCAAGGCTGGAAAAGAAGAATTTTACAGGTGCTGTGTGGAGAAAGAGTTTTGTATAAACTTAGATATTCTCTCCCCCTCTTTCTTTTCTTTCCTTATGGCTCTTAAGCTAAAAAGTTGCTAGTCTTTTTTTTTTTTTTTTTTAAATCTGGAATCTTATTAAAGTATATTTTGGTTTACATTCTTTTGAAATCTTTTGAAAATTGTGATTTATGAAGTGTATTTTTAGTTTTCTTTGAATTGGTTATATCTTTATATATTATGGGAGAAAGTTCAAATTGAATTTGCCTCATGGTATTCCCCAATTTGTGTCATTTGCTCTTTCACTGTAGACGCGATAAAATTTAAAATTATAGCACTAAAATGTAAACAGTAATAGAGAAATGTCAGTAGTGTAATCAGAGAATCTCAGTACTTAGAAGTTGTACATTACTTACTGGTGAATACTCACGCAAGCTTACTGCATGATTGGCACAAGAGACTAATGACGGTTCTGGAACCTGATATTATTCTGTGTTTTTATTGTACTGTATATTTTCTTGCTCAGGGCTCTGTGTGACACTCCAGGTGTGGACCCAAAGCTTATTTCTAGCATCTGGGTCGCTAACCACTACAGGTGGATTGTATGGAAACTGGCAGCTATGGAATTTGCTTTTCCGAAGGAATTTGCTAATAGATGCCTAAACCCAGAAAGAGTGCTGCTTCAACTAAAATACAGGCAAGTCGAAAGGATGGCAGCAAGTGACTGTGTCATTCAGTCTGCAGTTTTCTGTGTAGCTCCTGTCCTCTACATCAACGGTGGTGTATGAACCAGTTCTGAGTGACAGCCTCCACTAACAGCAAACCAGTGTTCACATGCCTGTGTCCCTCTTCCCCCACCCCGTCTTTAACCCTTTTACATGTGAATTACTAATTTAATCCAATATTTAAAGTTATTAATTAAACATTTTTACCCTTTACATTTTTAACAATAGAAACAGTATATTTCTAGCTAAATTCTTCTTTTTCAATAATTTATTTTTTATTCACTTAACATCCTGATTATAGCCCCTGCCCTTCCTCTCAGTCCAGCTGTTACAAGTCCCAACCCCCAGTATCCCCTCCCCTTTTCCTCAGAAGGGGAAGCATACCTTGGGTACCACCCAATCCTGGGATATCTAGTCCCAGCAGGACTAAGCACATCTTCTCCCACTGAGGCCCAGCCAGGCAGTCCAGTTTGGGGAAGGGGATCCAGTGGCAGATAACAGAGCCAGAGACAGCCCCCACACCAATTGTTAGGGGTCCCACATGAAGACCAAGCTACACATCTACAAATGTGCAAGGGGCATAGGTCCAGCCCCTGCATGTTCTTTGGTTGGTGGTTCAGTTTGTATTCTAGCTAAAATCTTAAAAGTTATCTTTTCAGCCGGGCAGTGGTGGTGCACACCTTTAATTCCAGCACTTGGGAGGCAGAGGCAGGCAGATTTCTGAGTTCGAGGCCAGCCTGGTCTACAGAGTGAGTTCCAGGACAGCCAAGGCTACACAGAGAAACTCTGTCTTGAAAAACCAAAAAAAAAAAAAAAAAAAAGTTATCTTTTCAGTATGAACTTTTTTGTTTTTGAGACAATTTCTCTGGCTATCCTAGAATTGACTCTATATACCAGACTGCCCTTGAAGTCAGAGATCCCTTTGCCTCTGTCTCCTAAGTGCTGGGACTAAAGGCATGTGTTGCCATTCTTGGCTTAATGAACTAATTTTTAAAAATATTTGCTTATTTATTTATTTGTGAGTATGTGTGTGGATATGCACTCCTGTGTGCATGCATGGAGGCCAGAAGAGGGCATCTGGTGTTCTCTCTCTCTCTCTCTCTCTCTCTCTCTCTCTCTCTCTCTCTCAACTTAGAGCTAGTATGGAAGCCAATCCCCAGCCATCTGTCTGTCTCCGGTGACCTCAGAGCTGGTACTCTGCACTCAGCTTGTTATGTGTGTGCTGGGATCTAAACTGTCCTCATGGTAGTGCCACAAGCTCTTTTGACTGTCATATTGTGTCTAGCCTGATGAACCAACTTCATTATTTCTCAAGTATTCACTGGCTTGGTTTACAGTGAGACCCCAGGGGTCCAGTTCCTAGAATCAGCATCTTCATTTCCTTTTCAGATACGATGTGGAAATTGACAACAGCAGCAGATCAGCTCTAAAGAAGATACTGGAAAGGGACGATACAGCTGCAAAAACACTTGTCCTCTGTGTTTCTGACATCATCTCACCAAGCACAAATGTGTCTGAAACTTCAGGTGATAAAACTAGTGGTGAGGATACCAACAAAGTAGACACAATCGAACTCACGGATGGATGGTATGCTGTCAGGGCCCAGCTAGACCCTCCACTCCTAGCTCTTGTAAAGAGTGGAAGGCTGACTGTGGGTCAGAAGATCATTACACAGGGAGCAGAGCTGGTGGGCTCTCCTGATGCCTGTGCACCTCTGGAAGCCCCAGACTCCCTTAGGCTAAAGGTAAGCTAAATTATTGTACACTCTGAGCAAGGACCAGCCCATGACTCCATTATATTCTAGAGAGATAATTTACTTAAAATGTTGTATTAGATCGTAAAGGATAGAATTTCTTGACAATGTACTAGTAATGTAAGAAGCAAATTTTTCTAACAGTTTCTGGTGGTTAGGGGAGGCAAGGCTATTTCTTGAACTAAATATACTTGCAGTTAATCAATAAGAGTCAGTCTGTACCAGAATTGAGTTAGGTATCTGTACCTCTGTCTTGTCCTCGCAGCACTGGAGTTAGAAGTTCATTCTGCCATTCCTGGCGTTTTCCCAGTGGTTCTGCCGACAGGATGCAGAGCCTCATGTGTACAGGGCAAGACCTTTACCAGTTAAGCCATCTCCCACCCCTCACCTATTTTTCTATTGAAATAACATTAATCCTTTGTAGCAGAAGTGTGTGTGTGTGTGCACACACACTGCTAGAGGATGAGACCTTGCACACGCTGGGCAAGTGAACTGCAGTAGATTACACCCCAAGCCCTGCAGTAGAAATAGTCTTGAGAAATACATTATATTGAAGTAGTTTCCCTTTTGTACAGTTTCTGCTTACTCACTTTTTTTGGCTTTATTAATCATCTTTATGAGATTTTTTTAAAAGCTTTATTCTTTATGAATATGAGTGTTTTTCCATCCTCTGCACTATATGCAGGCAGTTTCCTCAGAGGCCAGAAGAGGGAATTGGATCCCCTGGAACCAGAGTTGTGAGTGTCTGTGTGGTTGTGTGGTTGCTAGGAATTGAACCCAGATCCTCTGCAAGAACAGCCAGTGCTCTTAACTGCTGAACCTTCTCATTAGCACCCTTTACACACACACACACACACACACACACACACACACACACACACACACAAATATTCTTAAAACATTCCAAGGGATTGAAGGAAAGTTGCAGAGTAGAATTCAGTTTGTATTTAACTTTTTTTTTTTTTCTTGAGACAGGGTTTTTCTGTATAGCTCTGGCTATCCTGGAACTCATTCTGTAGACCAGGCTGGCCTTGAACTCAGAGATCCACCTGCCTCTGCCTCTGAGTGAGTGCTGAGATTGCATGTGTGCACCACCACTGACCAGCCTGTGTTTAACTTCTAAGTTGACTTCCTCTTTCATTTGTGCAGATTTCTGCAAACAGCACTCGGCCTGCTCGCTGGCACAGCAAGCTGGGGTTTTTTCATGACCCCAGGCCCTTTCCTCTGCCCTTGTCCTCGCTGTTCAGTGACGGAGGAAATGTTGGCTGTGTGGACATCGTTGTTCAGAGAGTGTACCCTTTACAGGTATGATGCCTTTTGTAACTTACCATGTAATCTCTTTCTTTGGAGAGAATCTGAATGTTCCTTGCTGTTTTTAATACATTGTCAGTGGGTGGAGAAGACGGTGTCTGGATTGTACATATTTCGTAGTGAGAGAGAAGAGGAGAAGGAAGCATTGAGATTTGCAGAGGCCCAGCAGAAGAAACTAGAGGCCTTGTTCACCAAAGTCCACACAGAGTTTAAAGATCATGAAGGTAAAATAGACTTTGAATTACAAATTGTTATTTCTTACAGTGTTTTATAATTATATGAGTTCTCATTGAGTGATTGTTTTTTAAAAACTTCTGCATCTGTTTTTTTTTTTTTTAAAGATTTACTTAATTATTTTATGTATATGAATACACTGTAGCTGTTTTCAGACACACCAGAAGAGGGCATCAGATCCTGTTACAGATGATTGTGAGCCACCATGTGGTTGCTGGGAATTGAACTCAGGACTTCTGGAAGAACAGTCGGTGCTCTTAACCACTGAGCCATCTCTCCAGCCCCTCCCTGCCTTTTTTAAACTTAAAAAATATCACACATACAAAGAAATGAAAACTGAACTGATCCTGATTGTTATCGCTTCCTTAGGTCATTGAGACAGTGAAAGGTGACAGACGTCTATCTTTGTGTTACAAAAGGTTGTGTTTTCATGTATTTTCTGAGAATTTTTCTGTAGGTGTATCATATGTATATCTGTAGAAGGATTAGGGTCTGGAGAGATGAGCCAGCAGTTAAGAGTACTCTCCGGTCCTACAGAAGACCTGAGGTCAGTTTGTACCGCCCACAACCACCTCTAACTCCAGCTCCAGGGGATCCCATGGCACCACATGCAAGTGTCACGCTTTCACACAAACACACACATACACTTACTCATTTACTTAAAAACGAATTTTTAAAACGTAGATTGTACTTCCACTAACTTATTTAAAATTATTATTAGATTATATCATTTTCATGAAAAAAATGAATCAATATGAGAAATAAGTTACAAGTTACAAATAAACCCCTGTGTATGGTGCTTTAACTGACTGCAGCGGTCATTGTCATTGTCCTTATCGGCTGCTGCTGCTGCTGCTGCTGCTGCTGCTTTTCCTCCTCCTCTTCCTCTTCCTCCTCCTCTTCTTAAAGGAAGCTATTAGTAGATAGCTGTTTGTTTTAAAAAATGTTTTCTTTTCTGTCACAGCGCATGTACAGAAGTCAGGGACAGCTTGTTGTGGGTTCCAGGTGTCAGAGCCCGCTGTTATGCTTGGTGACCAGTGCCGTCATCAGCAGCTGTTATGCTGCTCTTTGTGGCTCTTTATTGTCTAACCTCCCTCCTTTGGGTGATTTTGCTTGACTTTATAGTTTTCACTCCCAAGTTTTGGGTCTAGTCAATCAATGATGCTTTCTTCTTTCCTCCTGCAGAAGACACAAGGCAGCGGTGTGTGCTGTCCCGTGCTCTCACACGGCAGCAGGTCCATGCTCTGCAGGACGGTGCAGAGCTCTATGCAGCAGTGCGGGATGCATCAGACCCAGATCACCTTGAGGTGAGGAAGAGCCAGGTGACAAACTCGAGTTCCCAGCCCTCTGGGAAGCTGTTCTCCTGCTGCCCATTAGAGCAAGCCCATGTTGAAATACTACTGCATCTTTCAGAAGGATTTCTGTGGCAAGTTCTTGATTCTGTATTAGGTAGAGAATGAAGAAGTTTGAGAGTTTCATGTATTACATAAACATAGTTTAATGTGCAGGCAAAAGACTAGAGGGAAGGCCAGTTGGTAAAGGCTCCTCCTGCCAAGCCTGACTGCCTGAGTTCAATCCCTGGGACCCAAAGGGTACAAGCAGAGAGCCAGTTCCTTCCAGTTTTCTTCTGACTTACACACACTCAAATTAAATACTTTTTTTTATTTTTATTTTTTTGAAACAAGGATTCTTCATGTAACTCTGGCTGTCCTAGAACTTGCTCTGTAGACCAGACTGGCCTTGAACTCACAGAAATATGCCTGCCTCTGCCTCATGAGTGCTGGAACTGAAGACATGCGCCACTACACCCAGTTACTATAATTTTTTTTTTTTTTTTAATGCAGGCAAAGCTTGCTTTTTAGCCAACTGTGTGGCATGTGTCTGTGTTCCAAGTATTCTAGGGACTAAGCAGCAGAATGGCAAGTTGTATGATTGGGAGACACAGCAAAATTCTGTCTGGAGAGATGGCTTAAGAATGCTCAGAGCTTTTGCTGGAGTGCCCAGCACCTGTGTTAGGCAGTTCACAACTGCCTGTAGCTACAGGTACACATGCACACATTAAATAGATGAATATACAAAAAGCTTCTTAAAAATTATATCTGCTAGCTGGGCGGTGGTGGCGCACTCCTTTAATCCCAGCACTTGGGAGGCAGAGGCAGGCGGATTTCTGAGTTCAAGACCAGCCTGGTCTACAGAGTGAGTTCCAGGACAGCCAGGGCTACACAGAGAAACCCTGTCTTGAAAAACCAAACCAAACAAAACAGCAACAACAAAAAAATTATATCTGCTGTTCCAAAGAGGAACTATTAAATTAGATTACTATTAAATTAAGTTTATTGGGCTGCAGCAGTTAAGAGCATTGGCTGCTCTTCCAGAGGACCCGTGTTCAATTGCCATCACCTACATGGCAGCTCACAGCTGTCTATAATCCAGCTTCAAGTGATTTGACACCCTTACACAGACATACATGTAGGTAGAACACTAAAGCACATAAAAATAACTAAATCAATTCATTTGAATTAAGTTTATTACACAGGTAAGGGTGAAGTCCATTGAGCCAGCTTCTCCTATGTCAGCTATGTAGTTATTGACTCTCTCTGTGCCTGCTTTCACCAGCTTCAACACTGAAGCATATTACTGGCACACAAATCCTGGCCTGCTTGTGAAGGTCAAGAGAGTTAGGACGTTTACCAGACACAAATCCATCCTTCTGTTAAATGTCCATGTCAGCCATTTGAAATGTAACTGTGCTGGTTGTGGTTAGAAGACACTTAGTAGTCAAGGTTTGGCTTAGCCCTAGGGAAATCTGTCACAGGGACTCCTAGGCAGCTTGAGGTTCCCAGCGCATTGTTTGATAGCCTGTGTAGTGATCTGCACCTTCAGGTCTGGTCTGGTCTCACGAGGCAGCCCTGCTGGGGTAGGCAGCCCTACTGGGGTAGGCAGGACTGCTGTGTGTCTGCTCTGATTCAATGTCTAAATGCCTACAGGCTTGTTTCAGTGAAGAGCAGGTAAGAGCCTTGAACAACTACAGACAAATGCTGAATGATAAGAAACAAGCACGGATCCAGTCAGAATTCCAGAAGGCCCTGGAGTCTGCTGAGCAAGAAGAGGGTTTATCAAGGGATGTTACAACTGTGTGGAAACTACGGGTTACAAGCTACAAGAAAAACAAAAAATCAGGTTAGTAAGCAAGTTTGTTTGTTTGTTTGTTTAAGTCCAGTCTGTTAAATTAAAAGGTGATCTTATGGGCTGGAGAGATGGCTCAGCTGGAGAGATGGCTCTGCTCTTCCAGAGGTCCTGAGTTCAATTCCCAGCAACCACATGGTGGCTCACAACCATCTGTAATGTGATTTGATGCACTCTTCTAGTATGTGTCTGAAGGCACCTGCAGTGTACTCATATAAATAAAAAAAAATAAATCTTTAAAAAAAAAGTAATCTTACAAATGACAAAGTATGAAATCCATGTACAATCAAATGAGTGAAATGGTTGTGAGCACCCACAGAGCAGGGAAGCCATATTTCCGTAAATGTCACCAGTGTATCTACCTGTCATGTCCCTCTCTTTCTCTGAACAGCTCTGTTGAGTATCTGGCGTCCATCATCAGACTTATCCTCCCTGTTAACAGAAGGAAAGAGATATAGAATCTATCATCTTGCAGTGTCAAAATCGAAGCGTAAATTTGAACGACCCAGCATCCAGTTAACAGCCACAAAAAGAACTCAGTATCAACAGCTCCCGGTCTGCACCTCTCCTTACATATTTTCCATTTGATAAATGCAGAGCTCTTCTTAGAGCCTCAATATGCTGACTCTTTGTTCTGCTTCCGGTAGGCTTCCAGTGAGACTTTACTCCAGTCTTACCAGCCCAGGGAGCCCCTTCACTTCAGCAGACTGTCAGATCCAGCCTTTCAGCCTCTTTGTTCTGAAGTGGATGTTGTAGGAGTTGTTGTTTCCCTTGTAAAACCAATAGGTAATGTACAGTGTATCTAATGTAGCTTTTCATTGGTTCTTTTGAAAAACACTGCCTTTTTAACTTTGGGTTGTTTTGTTTTGGTTTGGTTTTTTTGTTTTGTTTTGGTTTCCAACACAGGGTTTCTTTGTGTAGCCCAGGCTGTCCTGGAATTCACTCTGTGGACCATGTTGGCTGTGAACTCAGAAATCCGCCTGCCTCTACCTCCTGAGTGCTGGGATTAAAGATGTGCCACCACCCCCCAGGGAAAAAGGTTGCCTTTTAAACTTTTAAACTAATAACTAATGGAGCTTCACTGGTAGGCTTGATAAGTAGAGATGGGAAGTAATCTTTGTATTTCTTTATGTATATTTTTCTGTATGTGGGGGGGGGGGGTGCCTGCATGTATGTGGAGGTCAGGGGACAACCTATAGCAGTCAGCTCTCTTCTTCAGTGGGGCCCAGAGATCAAACTCAAGATATCAGGCTTGCTGTCCAGCACCTTCGCCCACAGGGCCATCCTGTCAGCCTTTAGTACCCTTTCTTTGTTTCCTTCTTCCTCCCTCCCTCCTCCCCACCCCCCTTCCTTCCCACCCCTCCCTCCCTCCCTCTGTTTCTTTTGGTTTTTCAAGACAAGTTTTCCCTGTTTAGTCCTGGCTGTCCTAGAACTTACTCTATAGACCAGGCTGGCCTCAAACTCAGAGCTCCTCCAGCCTCTGCCTCCTGAATCCTGGGATTAAAAGTGTGCACTGCCACAGCCCAGCTGTCTTCTTTCTTTTTTTTTTTTTTTTTTGGTTTTTCAAGACAGGGTTTCTCTGTGTAGCCCTGGCTGTCCTGGAACTCACTCTGTAGCCCAGGCTGGCCTCGCACTAAGAAATCCGCCTGCCTCTGCCTCCCAAGTGCTGGGATTAAAGGTGTGCGCCACCACCGCCCGGCTTTTTTTTAACTTTCTTTTGGTGGGGGGGAAAGCAATTCAATAGTACTTCAGAAGAACACCTTATATTCTGTTGTGTGCTGTTTAACCTTGTAAAGTGATTTTTCAGTAGTTATGTCAAATAATATAATCTGACCTATTAATGGAACATTCTAACCTCTGATCTCTTAAGGTTTTAATAGTCTTGGCCAGCATCTTGGCTAGCTTTATCTCTCATGTATATATGTATTTATCTATGTCTTTATTTATCAGTTTTATTTTGTAGTTCTGGGGAATCACACCTAGGGCTCACACTGTTCTACAGATGTTGACACTAATCTCTGTCCCTCCCTGTTTTATTGTGTAGTTTATCTACAAAGCTCCTTCCTTTTCACTGCAGTGCACACAGATGTCGAAGTCCAGCCAGGATCCCTGTGTAGGCACAAGCCTTCCATTTCTGATTATGTATTGTATCCAGATGCCTCAGCATGAGCTCCTCGCTCTCCCTCATTGCACTTTAACTGTCTGACGTGCCCTTGCTATTACATCAGTTGCCCTCACGGTTCCCATAGACAGCCATGCTGGCTTTTTGTGCCTTCATGTTTCTAGTCAAATGTAGCCTTGCAAGAGGTCCTTCCTAAACAGAACAGTGGCTACTCCTCTCCCAAGCCCATGTTCTTCCTTTAGCTTCACTCTCCTCCTTGGTACTCTGTAAAAATAACTTACATTCTCCTGTAGTGATTCTCGTCTCTGAGCCTTTTGCCTCTATCTGCTAACCTAGCCCTAGTCCTGGAAGCTTCTGGCCTCCATACAATCTAGGCCTAGAATGTTCTCAACCTTTGAGACTTACTGCTGAATAAGCTCACCTTTTCTAGTTTTTTCTCATCTCTGGCTTGCTGGTTCAACTCATCTGTTCTGGCTCAAACTCTGGCTCAAGCTGACTGATTCAATCTGGCTCTTCTCTTGACTGAATTGCTCTTCTTGACCTCATACTAACTTTGACATTCTGTTCTCTTCTCATTCTGGCTCCTTGTCATTCTCTGGCTCATTCTTCATCTGTGTCTAGCTTGTTCTCTCTCTGCAACCTGGCTTTCTGTAACTGTCCCAGTAAAACTGCCCCTTTCTCTTTCTGTTTTCTATGGTACTCTCTTAAGTAAACTCATTGCCTTTCCTTGTGTGAGTTGAGAATAGCCTATCTCTGACTCATTCTGTCAGATCTTTCTCTGATTTGTCACTTTGTCTGCCCCTCAATTAGACTTTCAAACATAGCTGCTTCCTTCTACACACACTAGCCCTACCTATACTGTTTGGGATTAAATGTGTGTACTAAGGGCATTTCTGTATTCCAGCCAGAGGGATTAAAGGTGTGTCTTAAGGATGAGCCACACCACAACTAGAAACAAGGTTGTTTGTTTGTTTGTTTGTTTTCAGTAAATCTCAGGGTTCCTAGTGTGATCAAATATCCTGCAACAGCACTCTTCAGCACCTAACAGTGTCTCCACCACACACCTGACCCCTTCTGGGATACAATGTTGTAAAGGCAAGACCATATTTCCCACCCTAACGCGGCAAGTGACGTGGGACAAGCTCTACAAGATGTGATAAGTTTCTTGATCACCAGCTTTGCCATTAGAGTTTTCACATTCCTCCTGTCTCTGGTCACCCACTGTCCTTTCTGTTGTATCGGTCTTTCTTTGGAGATGGCCAGGAACCAAGCGTGGATCCTCTGGAAGAGCAAGCTCCCTAGCAGAAGCTCTCACAGGCCCTGACACCAGCTTCTGTGCAGCCCTGGGCCTGACGGCTCTTTAAGCTTCACACTCTGTGCTTTTTATGTCTTTGTGCCTGCTTGTTCCTTTGTCAGGAACCTTGTCAGGAATGTCACTTGTGTGACAGTGCGTTTATTTCTGCTGTTATTATTGAATCTCCTATCTTTGCCCATTATGCTCACAGGCAGCTTCGTCTTTAATTTTGCTTTCTGCACACACCGTGCACATCTCTCTTCGTCATTTCGTGCACGAGTCCGTGCCGTCGTGGTGATGTACACACGCTCTCGGTCTCTTTCTGTGGTCTTGCAGGCTCCTTTCCATCTTATAAATCTGTTTCTTGTTCCTGATCCTGAGGCTCTAAATTTCATAATAGAGTCACTTTGAAAATCTTTAAGAATTTCCTTGTTCTGTGGGGTTTTTCCTTACAGGTTGTGTTCTCTTGTCCACTGCGCCTGCTCGCCCTCCCTTCCCCTTCCACCCTCCTCCCCTGCTGTGTTTGGTTGTCTGACTGATGTGGGGGTTTTCTCTGTCTGTTATGTTCATCAGCCACATAACCGGAATGTCATTCCCTGTCATCTGAGTCACACTGAGTCTGCACACTGATTGTCGTCGAAGGCAGGTAGCTCATTTGTGTATTCCATCAGCGTTTATTAATTGTTCTATGCCAGGTGCACAGCAGAGAAGAATTCCTTCCTGGGAGCACTGTGGTGGGAGGAGGAGAAGGAGGAGGAGGAAGAGGAGGAGGAGGAAACAAACAAAGGCCAAAGGGAAGGATTGATGTCAGAAGAAAGGACAGGGTGGAGACAGAGCTGATGCTCTGCTGCCATTTTAGACAGTGTTCAGAAAAGACCTCATTGACTTTTGTGTTGGACCAGAAAAAAACTGAAAGAGAAGCCTGTGGAACCTGAGGAGAGGTCCCCTGGAGGCTGTAAGCTTTGGTGGAGAGTGGAGAGAGGCACAGAAGAAGTAGGTTGTATGGGTACTTGGATAAACTTTTAAATTTTGTATTAGTATGTGTGGTACGTGTGCAGGGGTCAGAAGGCAAGTCAGCTTTGTGGAGATGGTTCTTTCTGTATACCTTGATACAGGGTCTGGGGATTAAACTTGGACTATCAGGGTTACATAGCAATCACCTCTACCCACTGAGCCATCTTGCTGGCTCCCTTGTATATTTTTTAACTTTTACTTAAATGGTGATGGGAAGTCACGGGAAGATAGAGGAAAAGGGATAGGCTTTTACCTTTTCACATATCACTTGAGCTGTTACATTGAAAATACACTATAGCCTGGCAGTGGTGGTGCATGCCTTTAATCCCAGCACTTGGGAGGCAGAGGCAGGTGGCTTTCTGAGTTCAAGGCCAGCCTGGTCTACAGAGTGAGTTCCAGGATAGCCAGGACTACACAGAGAAACCCTGTCTTGAAAAAAAAACTGGAAAAAAAAGAAAATACAGTATCGAGGGATCGGGTACAAACAAGAGACTCCAGGAGGATGGCATTGTAAGGGACTAAGTAGGAGAGGATGATGAAGTAGACAGAAGCTGTGGACACAATGAGTGGCAAACAGGTTCTGGTTACCCTCTGAAGGTGGAGGGACATTGTGGATGTCCGAAGCTGTGGAAGACTGGGATTACCACTTGCTGAGAAGGGAAGACTTGATAACAAACTCAAGGGAGCATGGGTTGCCACTGGTGTCTCAACTGCATGGGAAGCTTCTGAGGAGATACGGTGACTCCACAGCTGTGTTCACAGATATGTGAACTTCAGAGTAGACAGAGCACTTCAGCAGTAGTCAGAGCATCCATATACCAGAGATAGGAAAAGCCATGAGACTGCATTCTCTCCAAGTGCACAAGAAGAGACAGAGGACTCAGTTTTAACACTTGGGTATCAGGAATGGGGCACATAGAAAGGAAGCAGTGAATGCAGAGGGGGACCCAAGAGGTAGACGAGTACTAAGGAGCATGGTATTTTGAAAGCAGAGACGCATTGCTGTGTGCAATTAAGCCTGTCCAAAGCTCTTTAACAGCACTGGTGTGAGGTGAGGACCAAGACTTGGTAGTTGGCTTTGGCACTGTGGCAGAGCCCTTTCCATGGAGAGAGACTGGCTGACTGAGCAGAACAAGGGGAACAGAGGAATAGAGGTGTGGGTATGGCTGTTTCGTGAGTGTCTGCTGTAAAGGTTTCTTACTCACCAGATGTAATTGTTCTCTTGGAGGTTTACTGCTAAATAAGCTCACCCTTGCTGGTTCTTTCTGAACAATGGCTAGCTGGTTCAACTCAGCTGTTCTGACCCAAACTCCTCTCTAAGCTGACTGATTCAAGCTGACAGAGGCTTCTCTCAGCTTCTAACTGAATGGCTCTGCTTGGCTTTAAACAAACTCTGGCAATCTGTTCTAATCTTCTGGCTCCTTCTCATTGTCTGGCTAGTTCTACCTTCACCTATGTCTAGCTTGTTCTCTCTGTAAACTGTCCTGGTAAAACTCTCTCTCTCTCTCTCTCTCTCTCTCTCTCTCTCTCTCTCTCTTTCCCTCCCTC